AGAGTTGGTCGATTGATTTATTACCATTACGTAATATTGAATTTCCACAGAAAATTATATTTTAGCTACTAAAGGTCTCTATCATGAAATTTGAAATAAATCATTCAATAATCAACATTTATGAAAAAAAATTTATACATATTTGTATACATGCATATATGCAAATATCTACATAAATATGTATTCATATTTTATATACATATAAATGCATATATTTGATTGTGTTAATTTATATACAAATTTTTAACGTAAATTGATCGTAGAATATATCGAGCAGATATAGTGTATACCTCAAATTGGCAAAACCTTGACTGAAATAAAATAAAATATTGCTAAAATAGTTACATCTTTCACAACTACATATCTGTTACCAATAGCGTATTATAACGTACATCCAATTTGTGTACCTCTGAATTAGAGAGGAACGTAGCTATCTTAAAGAACTAAATAGGTATCGTTTGAGTATTTATTTTACAAATAATGCAAAAGGGTTCATTGTAAAATTTTGAGCATTTATTAATTATTTAATAAAACTAGAAAATTTTTCTTCTTTAATAAATGTTCCTTAAAAGACGCTCTATAAAAATCATATTGCAGCTTAACCATCGGAGTTGCAAATTTGCGAGCATTCTCATATCTCTAAATCTCATTTGAAATCAAACAACCACAATTTCTTATATTATTTATGATACTATTATGCCAATGGACTAATAAAATAAGGAAGAATTATAAAAATGACAATTTGTGTAGCTTAAAACTAATACAATTTACAAATTTTCTTTACATATCTATGATAACAATAATTATTTATATAAATCTCTTTACTAATATTAAAAGTTTATCGACGATGTAATGTAATACATAATAAAATTTATTAAATAATACAATTAAGAATAAATCTTTCAGTTTTTAATTTCAGACAAAATTTAATTGCTCGTCAAGTTGTAACACCAACGGCGATAAGATTCTTCAAAGGCGGTTTTTTGACCAAAAAAATTTTCTACTTGCAAAAATTTAATAACAAATGCCTCAAAATTTCGAAATAAATTGCTGTAAAGTGTTTTCAAACAAATTCTCAATAGTCATTCAGATATCTAAAAACTCTTAACTTACGCCCCTTTTAATAATCATAGTAATAAGAACTTTTAAACTTCTCGACAATTAGGTTAAAAGTCGCGAGCGACTCGGATGATATGTCTTATAAAGTTTTGTTAAACCGATCTGTGAAAGATTCACTACAAACGTCAATACACTTGTCAACTTCATTAAATACGCCGATATAAAGAATATCTGCTTTCATTTTGTCGTAAATTAGCCAGACGAACGGATAATTCAGATACATGTAGCTTATAATATCGTTCGAACTGGGTTCTTGTCCACTGATCAAGGTTACCGCAGTAGCAGTGACGTTATCCTCTGTGACCTTGACACGAGCACGGTGCACGGCATTGCCGAAGTGCACGAATTGATTGTCTTCCGCGAAGGTGTTGTCCAAAAAGATCGCGTCGGGCGTCAATAACTGTTCGACGCCAAGTTCTCGCAACAGAACTTGCATATCTAAATTTTTTTTAGTTTTTATTTAATAAAGATATTTTTAAATGCATTTTACACGTTAGATTTATTTTTTTATATAATTTCCATCATTTAATGCAAAAATATAAAAAGAATTATTTACCTCTAATTGTTCATCTTGAGAGGTTGATGCTGCGTTGACAACTTGTGAGCCATATTTATCAAAAGTAATAGTACCGATTAAATCATCTTTCAAGACTTCCGTTAAATAAAGAATATCTCTTAAACGCTGTTCAATAACACCACGGGATGTAAAATAAACCAAAAATAATGCTTCATATAAATTATATGAACTGAATAAGGCATACTTGCTTTTTGGTTTGATTTTCATGTATTTACGCAGACATTTGATCGAGAACTTAAAAAGAGCCTCCGACAATACTTTATTTGATGAACAGAAAAATATCCAATATAATTTTATGTAGTTCAAGCAAAATTGACAAAAAAGATATTTATTAAAATAGAAAATTATAATAAATTATAATAAATTAATTAAAAATAATTATAGCAATATGTTTCAACAATATAATTAAAATCGAAGAGATATTAATACACAACATACGTAGAATAATAACCGATAGAAATAAAGAAAAAAGTTCACTAATATTTGTTACCTATAAAAATAATTATTATCTATGTTTATCAACACGTCTAAAAATAAACTTAATTTAATATATAACTTTGTGAATTTTAAGAACAGTATTTTGCTTATATTTTCAAGAAATAGATCATTTAAATTCGGTGGATTATTATTGATGATATTTAATATTAATATTCAAGACCTAACAATGAAGTATATTCTGCAATAATTCTATATATAAAAAATTCTGAAATTTATTCAAATATATGTACTTTCAGTAAAATATCTTAAAAATTGTATTATATAACGAAAATATATCCTCTAAAATATAGTTAATATCATGGGTTTTGAAAGAACGTTTGCAACTTTACTTTATTCTAATAAATTACGAAACTCGCATTATGCAATATTCATAAAATTACATCAAATATGAAATTACATCAAAAAAGAGTGTAATAATATATTACAAAGAAAATATTAGCGTCGTATATCTTAATTAGTTTGTGAAATCGAAATCAAAATTATTTGAGATTGTAAAAGATATTATTCCGACTCACAAACTTTTTCTCTTTGCTCCTCCATTTTTAGCTACAGTTTCAAACTTGATTTGTCTGTCTCGATATTATAGAGCTGTTTTTATTGTATTTATTGTTATGTTGCGCATGCGCATATTATCGCCGAAAATGATGTGTGCGCGAGAAATTAAATCGAATTAAACTTTTGAACATTTTCATCAAACTTTTTTTTACAAATCGGAGGCTACATATTATATAAATCTATAAATTTTGATTTATTTTTATCATATAATTCAGAAATACGTCAAAAATGTAATCTAAATATATTTTATAATATTTATTGTATGACTACATTAAAAATTTATTTAACATTTAGGTTTAGCAAAAAAAAATTATGATTTGCATATTTTATCTAATTCTTATGTTTATTTGAGTCTACTTTGTGCAATATAAAGTGAGAAAGTAACACTTTAAAGTAACACTTTAAAATTAAATTGATTGAAATATATTTAAAACGCGAAACATTTAGCTAAAACATAATATAAGCATATATAATGCTTACATCAAAATATAAATTTATTTGACAACATATATAAAATAATAACATATAATAATATTTTAGATCATTATTTATTCCATAAATTGATCACATAATTACAAAATTTTATATAAGGATCTCTGAATTTACCAATTAGTATTGCCTGTTTCTTATGTTTAAATACAAACTGTTTTTACACCAGCAAAAACAAGAACAAACATATAAGCCCACGTAAAGTACACAAAAGACTTGTCTAAAAATTTTGCTTGTCTAAAATTTTACAAGACTTGGATTTTTTGCTTATATAATTAACTGAGAAATAATTATTTTTCTGAATTGTCTTTTTAAAATTGTTGAAAAACTCGTAATTTTTGTTTCTGATAATCCAATATTTAATTACATATTAATAATTTTATAATATAATAATATTTTTTAAAATTTAAATATATTATTGCAACAACTCGCATTTAATGAATTTTTATTTTATTTAATGAAATAAAAATTGCAAAATAAAAGATTTGCAAAAAAATTGTATATAATAGCTGATAAAAAAAACTTACAATAGAAGCAAAATTAATATATTATTAGAATAACTTTAATGTAATATGAAGTAAAAAAATGATCTGTAACATTTAATTCAAATGTATATGTCTAAATATAATTTTATTTTATTCTAATATCACTTAAATCTCAGCGTATTAATATTTCTATAAAATTTTTATTGATGATTTAACATACATTCGATACATTATCATGCAAAGATGAAGAATGTCAAATAATATTTCGACAAAGAATCAAGTCTCTATTATATATATTAATAGCGCGTTACAGAGTCAGTCTTCCTAAATATCTAAAATCGTTATAAATACAGAATCAGTTTTATAAATATCTAAAGTCGTTATAAATATCTAAAAAAATAGATAGCACCTATATATACGTGTATAGTGTATGTTAACTAACAATAAAAAAAAAGTCAAAAATTTATTGAATCTGAATAATGTTGTAAAAAAAAAGGATATGGATACAATTTAATATGACAGTTGTAACATATTATCGAAGATATAAAGTATAATTCTAACATCTACAGCAACATTATATAATAAAATTTAAATAATAAGTTGAGAATATCACATATTTAAGAATAATTAAAATACTATTAACATTTTCTCTTATTTTATGATTGCACATTTAATATTTTTGCAATATTGTATAACACATATTTAACATACATTATATAATGTATATTTAATATTAAATTTTGTTAGAGAATTATCTTTTGGCTGCCAAAAATCTCTATCATAAGATTTGAAATAAGTCATTCAATGATTAACATTTATGACAAAAAATTTATACATATATGTATACATGCATACATGCATATATCTACATAAATATGTATTTATATTTTATATACATATGTATGCATATATTTGATTGTGTTAATTTATATACAAATTTTTAACATAAATTGATCATAGAATATATCGGGCAGATATAGTGCAAATTGTCTCAAATTGATAAAAATTTGACTGAAAAGATATAAAATATTGCTAAAATAGTAACATCTTCCACAACTACAGTTCTGTTACCAAAAACATACTACAGCGTATTATAGCGTACATCCGATTTGTGTACCACTGAATTAAAGAGGAACACAGCTATCTTAGACAGCTAAAAAAGTATCGTTTTCGAATTTATTTTACAAATACTGCAAAGCGGATCATTGTAAAACTTTTAACCATTTATTAATTATTTCAAAATATCGAAAAAATTTTTTTCTTCAATAAATGTTAATTAAAGAGCGCCTTATATAAATTATCTTGCAGCCTAACCATTGAAGTTGCAAATTTGCGAGCATTCTCATATCTCTAAACTCCGTTTAAAATTGAAAAACCAAAATTTCTTTTATTATTTATAATATTATTTTGCCGACGAACTAATAAAATAAGAAACAATTAAGAAATTGACAATATGATGCAGCTTAAAACAAAACAATACAGATTGGAAATTTTGTTTACATATTTATAAAAAAAAATTATTTATATAAATTTCTTTACTAATATTAAAGCTTCATCGACAATGTAATATAAGAAATAATAATAAAATTTTTAATTCTTAATTTCAAACAAAATTTGGAGATACAAGATTGCTCGTCGATTTCCAACAGCCACCGGGGATAAAATTCCTCAAAGGCGGTATCAAAGTCCATATTTTTGGCCAAAAAAATTTTCCACTCGTAAAAATTTAATAACAAATGCCTAAAAGTTTCGAAATGATTTGCCGTAAAGTCTTTTCAAACAAATTCTCAATAATTAAGCCAATATCTAAAAACTTCTAACTGGCGCCCCTTTTAGTAATCATAGTAATGAAGACTTTTAAACTTCCCGACGATTAGGTTGAACGTCGCGAGCTACTCGAAGGATATGTCTCATACAATTGTTTGTGAAACCATTCTGAGAAATTGATTTCATTCAATAAAGTGCCGGTATTCTTGTCAACTTTATTAAATACGCCGATATAAAGAATATCTGCATTCATTTTGTCGTAAATTAGCCAGACGAACGGATAATTCAGATACATGTTGCTTATAATATCGTTCGAACTGGGTTCTTGTCCACTGATCAAGGTTACCGCAGTCGCAGTGACGTTATCCTCCGTGACCTTGACACGAGCACGGTGCACGGCATTGCCGAAGTGCACGAATTGATTGTCTTCCGCGAAGGTGTTGTCCAAAGGGATCGCGTCGGGCGTCAATAACTGTTCGACGCCAAGTTCTCGCAACAGAACTTGCATATCTAAATTTTTTTCAATTTCAAAGATCAGCTGAGTAGAAACAAATGGTAATTTATCTTTTTCTTCGTTTTTACAAGACAGCAATTTCCGAAGTACATGCATTCCTTCGATGGTTGACAATCTTTCAATCAAACTGGAAAGGCTAGTGCTGCTCGTATCAGTTTCAACCTTTTCGTTTAATGTAATTGATGAAAAAGGTGTCAACATATACAGCGACGTGAAATCTTTCTTGATGATTAACTCTTTTACGTCTACCTGTAATTCATCACTGGAAACTGAAAAAAAAACATCCATGTATCATTTTACATTTCCAAGAATTAGAAATTATTTGCGTAAACATATAATAAAACTTTATTATGAAGAAATGAAAATAAAATAAGTGACAATGAAACGCGATAAATTAATTAATTTATTATTAATAGTCTCAAACACCTATGAACAATTTTTATGCGAATACTTAAAATCAATACGTAATCTTTAATTGCGCCTTTTCATTGGTATATAAATATATTATACTATAATATGTCTTATTTGAAATATTACACTGCAAAAAATTTGTCATAATAACTGCCGATCACCCAACATTATATATGTATATTTCTCGTTATATTTAAAAAATTTATATAATCATAACAAAAACCCTTTCTAATGTTTATGGAAACAGCTCTGACAGTGGAAAGATGGCGATTCCTTTTTAACATTAATTATTGCTTTGCCATCATTTTATTAATGAAATAAATTAAGCAGTGTTTTTTACGTAATAAATTAAATAAACGAATTATTATTGGATTAAAATTAATTTAAAAAATTTAATTAAAAGTTGTGTAAAATTATATGAAAAATATATATGCTCACATGTTTTAAATTTCAGAAAGCTTGACATCGGTATAATCGATATTAATTGGTCGACACTCCAACTTCTTATCGGTTTAAGGATTAATTGATTTCGACCGTGGAAATTATGTACATTCATCAATATAATATCCAAATCTTCTGTTTTTACTTTTAATTTCAACGGTTTAAGAATGTTATCCTTTGTCAAAATTTCTAGAACTTTAGTGATCTTCCTATTTATATCCTGAATATCATTGCTCTTTTTAGATAAGAATCCAAGATTGTACAATTTTTTTATTATTTCAATGTCATCACGAAGTATTGTGTTTATAAAAGTACATTTATTCTGAATCGCGTAATGTGGCACACAAGAGGCAGTATCCTAGAACATTATTAAAAAAAAATCTTTAAAAAACCTCTATGCATTTTTAACTAAAGAATTTATATCACTTCTTTAAAATGTTTGTTTCGCACGTTCATTTACATAAGAGCTAAATCTTCATATATTTTAAAATCGCATCACGTTACTTCGTTGAAATTAGTCTACATGAAAACGAGTCATAATTAAAATTTCGATAAGAAAAAACTTTGGATTAAAAAATTGTTTATTCAAACAATGCTCAATGATATATGTATTTTATCATAGATTCGAAATCTTATTTTATTTATACGATTTTCTATTATAGCTTTTACTGCTTAATCTATTTTTTAGTTGCAAAGTTTATATTTAATAAATATTTTTACATGTCATTTTATACAATGCTAAAATAAAATTTAACATTTTTTATATTATTATATCCATTATATAATATTATTATTGAAAAGTGCGTCAAAACTATTTACCTCATATTCTGCGGGCCGGTTTGTAGGGTATTTATGATGTCTTGCGGCGTATTTATTAAATTTAATGTTTTTTATCATCTCATACTTTGGGACATTAGGCAAATAAAGAATGTTCTTTAAACGCTGTTCAATATCACCACTGGAAATAAGGTAAACCGAGAAAAGTTCCTGATATATGCTGTATGGACTAAAAACAAAATCTTCTTTTGGCTTGATCGTCGCATATTTATGCAGACTTGTCAGGGCAAACTTGAAAATCGCATCCGATATAACAGAATCTGACAAAAAGATATAAAAAAAAATCAAGAGAAATTAACGAAAGAGTTATATTAGAAATAAAAATTCTAAATAATTTACAATTGTTAAAATTAATAAATAAGTTATAGCATTTTACAAAATTTTTAATTAAATAAATGAAAATGCAGAGAATATAACGCTTGAAATTTTTCGATACTTATATTGCATGTTTATAAACAGAAATTTTTAACATCTAAATAATTTGATTCTTAATTTAAAGTACAATAAAATAAAGTATACGTACATATAATAATAATCGAAAAAAGAAAGTTTCGCGAGGTAAATATATTTCTACATATCTTATGTTTAGTAACATGTTTACAGCAAAATTTTACAAAATATGTAACAAACTTCTTGAAAAGTATGTTGATTATATTTCCATAAATTAAAATATACACAAAATTCGAAATTGGTCAATCATTATTGATATCTAGGAATATAACATTTAATCAAATATAAAATAGATCATCTGCGAAGTGAAAATTGTATCCAAATAATAAACTTATTATACGTATATTGTGAAATTGCGAAACAATTTGCTAAAATATATTATTAATACTTGTATCAAAAAATCACGAAATTTGCTATATAATAAAAATTATTGCATCAAAATATAAATAAATTACTCAATAATAACTTTTTAAAAACAACTATAATATTACGAAAGAAGTGTATTAGAACTTTAAATATTAATTATTTGTTTGTGAAAACGCAAATCAAAATTGTTTTATATTATAAAAGATTTTTATTCTTACAAAAGAAAGTTTTCTTAAGTTCGTGCTCCATTTTAAGCTATACTGTAGCGAAATCGTGGCGAACTTGCTTTGTCTTCTGTCTCGATATCAGGTAGCCGCAGATTATATATATATGTATTTATATTATGTCGCGCACGCGTAAATTGTCTTTGAATGTATTTATGAAATCTAATCGTTTTTGACTATCCAAAATCATTACATGTACATACGAATACAAATAACACCCTTAGTGCAAATAGGTACACATAATGTATATTTTATATTAAGAGTTAATCGATTGATTTATTACCATTACTTAATATTGAATTTCCACAGAAAATTATATTTTGGCTACTAAAGGTCTCTATCATGAAATTTGAAATAAGTCATTCAATGATTAACATTTATGACAAAAAATTTATACATATTTGTATACATGCATATATGCATATATCTACATAAATATGTATTCATATTTTATATACATGTAAATGCATATATTTGATTGTGTTAATTTATATACAAATTTTTAACATTAATTGATCATAGAATATATCGGGCAGATATAATGCAAGTTGTCTCAAATTGATAAAAATTTGACTGAAAAGATATAAAATATTGCTAAAATAGTAACATCTTCCACAACTACAGTTCTGTTACCAAAAGCATACTACAGCGTATTATAGCGTACATCCGATTTGTGTACCACTGAATTAAAGAGGAACACAGCTATCTTACAGAGCTAAAAAAGTATCGTTTTTGAATTTATTTTACAAATACTGCAAAGCAGATCATTGTAAAACTTTTAACCATTTATTATCTATTTAAAAATATAGAAAAAAGTTTCTTCTTCAATAAATGTTAATTAAAGGGCGCTTTATATAAATTATCTTGCAACTTAATCATCGAAGTTGCAAATTTGCGAGCATTCTCATATCTCTAAACTCCGTTTGAAATTGAAAAACCAAAATTTCTTTTATTATTTATAATATTATTTTGCCGACGAACTAATAAAATAAGAAACAATTAAGAAATTGACAATATGATGCAGCTTAAAACAAAACAATACAGATTGGAAATTTTGTTTACATATTTATAAAGAAAAAATATTTATTTAAACTTCTTTACTAATATTAAAGTTTCATCGACAATGTAATATAATAAATAATAATAAAATTTTTAATTCTTAATTTCAGACAAAATTTGGAGATACAAGATTGCTCGTCGATTTCCAACACCCACCGGGGATAAAATTCCTCAAAGGCGGTATCAAAGTCCATATTTTTGGCCAAAAAAATTTTCCACTCGTAAAAATTTAATAACAAATGCCTAAAAGTTTCGAAATGATTTGCCGTAAAGTCTTTTCAAACAAATTCTCAATAATTAAGCCAATATCTAAAAACTTCTAACTGGCGCCCCTTTTAGTAATCATTGTAATGAAGACTTTTAAACTTCCCGACGATTAGGTTGAACGTCGCGAGCTACTCGAAGGATATGTCTCATACAATTGTTTGTGAAACCATTCTGAGAAATTGATTTCATTCAATAAAGTGCCGGTATTCTTGTCAACTTTATTAAATACGCCGATATAAAGAATATCTGCTTTCATTTTGTCGTAAATTAGCCAAACGAACGGATAATTCAGATACATGTTGCTTATAATATCGTTCGAACTGGGTTCTTGTCCACTGATCAAGGTTACCGCAGTAGCAGTGACGTTATCCTCTGTGACCTTGACACGAGCACGGTGCACGGCATTGCCGAAGTGCACGAATTGATTGTCTTCCGCGAAGGTGTTGTCCAAAAAGATCGCGTCGGGCGTCAATAACTGTTCGACGCCAAGTTCTCGCAACAGAACTTGCATATCTAAATTTTTTTTAGTTTTTATTTAATAAAGATATTTTTAAATGCATTTTACACGTTAGATTTATTTTTTTATATAATTTCCATCATTTAATGCAAAAATATAAAAAGAATTATTTACCTCTAATTGTTCATCTTGAGAGGTTGATGCTGCGTTGACAACTTGTGAGCCATATTTATCAAAAGTAATAGTACCGATTAAATCATCTTTCAAGACTTCCGTTAAATAAAGAATATCTCTTAAACGCTGTTCAATAACACGACGGGATGTAAGATAAACCAAAAATAATGCTTCATATAAATTATATGAACTGAATAAGGCATACTTGCTTTTTGGTTTGATTTTCATGTATTTACGCAGACATTTGATCGAGAACTTAAAAAGAGCCTCCGACAATACTTTATCTGATAAACAGAAAAATATCCAATATAATTTTATGTAGTTCAAGCAAAATTGACAAAAAAGATATTTATTAAAATAGAAAATTATAATAAATTATAATAAATTAATTAAAAATAATTATAGCAATATGTTTCAACAATATAATTAAAATCGAAGAGATATTAATACACAACATACGTAGAATAATAACCGATAAAAATAAAGAAAAAAGTTCACTAATATTTGTTACCTATAAAAATAATTATTACCTATGTTTATCAACACGTCTAAAAATAAACTTAATTTAATATATAACTTTGTGAATTTTAAGAACAGTATTTTGCTTATATTTTCAAGAAATAGATCATTTAAATTCGGTGGATTATTATTGATGATATTTAATATTAATATTCAATACCTAACAATGAAGTATATTCTGCAATAATTCTATATATATAAAATTCTGAAATTTATTCAAATATATGTACTTTCAGTAAAATACCTTAAAAATTGTGTTATATAACGAAAATATATTTTCTAAAATATAGTTAATATCATGGGTTTTGAAAGAACGTTTGCAACTTTACTTTATTCTAATAAATTACGAAACTCGCATTATGCAATATTCATAAAATTACATCAAATATGAAATTACATCAAAAAAGAGTGTAATAATATATTACAAAGAAAATATTAGCGTCGTATATCTTAATTAGTTTGTGAAATCGAAATCAAAATTATTTGAGATTGTAAAAGATATTATTCCGACTCACAAACTTTTTCTCTTTGCTCCTCCATTTTTAGCTATAGTTTCAAACTTGATTTGTCTGTCTCGATATTATAGAGCTGTTTTTACTGTATTTATTGTTATGTTGCGCATGCGCATATTATCGCCGAAAATGAAATGTGCGCGAGAAATTAAATCAAATTAAACTTTTGTTATGTCTAAATACAAACTGTTTTCACACCAGCAAAAACAAGAACAAACATATAAGCCCACGTAAAGTACACAAAAGACTTGTCTAAAAATTTTGCTTGTCTAAAATTTTACAAGACTTGGATTTTTTGCTTATATAATTAACTGAGAAATAATTATTTTTCTGAATTGTCTTTTTAAAATCGTTGAAAGACTCGTAATTTTTGTTTCTGATAATCCAATATTTAATTACAATCAATAATTTCATTATATAATAATATTTTTTAATATTTAAATATTTTATTGTGCAACAACTCCCATTTAATAAATTTTTATTTTATTTAATAAAATAAATATTGCAAAATAAAAGATTCGTAAAAAAATTGTATATAGTAGCTGATAAAAAAATTCACAATATTGGCAAAATTAATATATTATTAGAATAACTTTAATGTAATATAAAGTAAAAAAATGATCTGTAACATTTAATTCAAATGTATATGTCTAAATATAATTTTTATTTTTTCTAATATCACTTAAATCTCAGCGTATTAATATTTCTATAACATTTTCTTTGACGATTTAACATACATTCGATACATTATTATGCGAAGATGAAGTATGTCAAATAATATTTCGACAAAGAATCAAGTTCCTATTATATATATTAATAGCGAGTTACAGAGTCAGTCTTCCTAAATATCTAAAATCGTTATAAATACAGAATCAATTTTATAAATATCTAAAGTCGTTATAAATATCTAAAAAAATAGATAGCACCTATATATACGTGTATAGTGTATGTTAACTAAGAGAGAAGTCGAAAATTTATTGAATCTGAATAATGTTGTAAAAAAAAAGGATATAAATACAATTTAATATGACAGTTGTAACATATTATCGAAGATATAAAGTATAATTCTAACATCTACAGCAACATTATATAATAAAATTTAAATAATAAGTTGAGAGTATCACATATTTAAAAATAATTAAAATACTATTAACATTTTCTCTTATTTTATGATCGCACATTTAATATTTTTGCAATAGTGTATAACACATATTTAACATACATTGAATAATGTATATTTAATATTAAATTTTGTTAGAGAATTATCTTTTGGCTGCCAAAAATCTCTATCATGAGATTTGAAATAAGTCATTCAATGATTAACATTTATGACAAAAAATTTATACATATATGTATACATGCATATATGCATATATCTACATAAATATGTATTCATATTTTATATACATATGTATGCATATATTTGATTGTGTTAATTTATATACAAATTTTTAACATAAATTGATCATAGAATATATCGTGCAGATATAATGCAAGTTGTCTCAAACTGATAAAAATTTGACTGAAATGATATAAAATATTGCTAAAATAGTAACATCTTCCACAACTACAGTTCTGTTACCAAAAGCATACTACAGCGTATTATAGCGTACATCCGATTTGTGTACCACTAAATTAAAGAGGAACACAGCTATCTTACAGAGCTAAAAAAGTATCGTTTTCGTATTTATTTTACAAATACTGCATAGCGGATCATTGTAAAACTTTTAACCATTTATTAATTATTTAAAAATATCGAAAAAATTTTCTTCTTCAATAAATGTTAATTAAAGGGCGCTTTATATAAATTATCTTGCAGCCTAACCATTGAAGTTGCAAATTTGCGAGCATTCTCATATTTCTAAACTCCGTTTAAAATTGAAAAACCAAAATTTCTTTTATTATTTATAATATTATTTTGCCGACGAACTAATAAAATAAGAAACAATTAAGAAATTGACAATATGATGCAGCTAAAAACAGAACAGTACAGATTGGAAATTTTGTTTACATATTTATAAAAAAAAATTATTTATATAAATTTCTTTACTAATATTAAAGCTTCATCGACAATGTAATATAAAAAATAATAATAAAATTTTTAATTCTTAATTTCAGACAAAATTTGGAGATACAAGATTGCTCGTCGATTTCCAACACCCACCGGGGATAAAATTCCTCAAAGGCTGTATCAAAGTCCATATTTTTGGCCAAAAAAATTTTCCACTCGTAAAAATTTAATAACAAATGCCTAAAAGTTTCGAAATGATTTGCCGTAAAGTCTTTTCAAACAAATTCTCAATAATTAAGCCAATATCTAAAAACTTCTAACTGGCGCCCCTTTTAGTAATCATAGTAATGAAGACTTTTAAACTTCCCGACAATTAGGTTGAACGTCGCGAGCTACTCGGAAGATATGTCTCTTACAATTGTTTGTGAAACCATTCTGTGAGACTGATTTCATTATATAAAGTGCCGGTATTTTTGTCAACTTCATTAAATACGCCGATATAAAGAATATCTGCATTCATTTCGTCGTAAATTAGCCAAACGAACGGATAATTCAGATACATGTTGCTTATAATATCGTTCGAACTGGGTTCTTGTCCACTGATCAAGGTTACCGCAGTCGCAGTGACGTTATCCTCCGTGACCTTGACACGAGCACGGTGCACGGCATTGCCGAAGTGCACGAATTGATTGTCTTCCGCGAAGGTGTTGTCCAAAGGAATCGCGTCGGGCGTCAATAACTGTTCGACGCCAAGTTCTCGCAACAGAACTTGCATATCTAAATTTTTTTCAATTTCAAAGGTCGGCCGAGTAGAGGAAGATAGTGATCCACCTGCTCTTACAGAAGACAGCAATTTCCGAAGTACACGCATTCCTTCGCTGCTTGACAATCTTTCAATCAAGCTGGAAAGGCTCGTGCTGCTCCTATCAGTTTTGACTCTCTTGTTTGTGCTTGATGGAAAAGGTATCAACATATACAGCGTGAAATATTCTTTGATGGTTAACTCTTTTACGTCCACCTGTAATTTATTACTAGAAACTAAAAAAAAAACATCCACGTATCATTTTACATTTTCAAGAATTAGAAATTATTTGCGTAAACGTATTTTAAGACTTAATTATGAAGAAATAAAAATAAAATAAGTGACAATAAAACGCGATAAATTAATTAATTTATTATTAATATTCTCAAACACCTATGAACAATTTTTATGCGAATACTTAAAATGAATACTTAATCTTTAATTGCGCCTTTTCATTGGTATAGTATAAATATATTATACTATAATATGTCTTATTTGAAATATTACACCGCAACAAATTTGTCATAATGTCTGCCGAGCACCCAACATTATATATGTATATTTCTCGTTATATTTAAAAAATTTATATAATCATAACAAAAACACTTTCTAATGTTTATGGAAACAGCTGTTTCTGACAGTGGAAAAATGGCGATTCCTTCTTAACATTTAATATTGCTTTGTCATCATTTTATTAATGAAATAAATTAAGCAGTGTTTTTTACGTAATAAATTAAATAAACGAATTATTATTGGATTCAAATTAATTTAAGAAATTTAATTAAAAGTTGTGTAAAATTATATGAAAAATATATATGCTCACATGTTTTAAATTTTAGATAGGTCGATATCGGTATAATCGATAATGATTGGTCGACACTCCAACTTCTTATCGGTTTAGGGATTATTTGATTTCGACCGTGGAAATTATGTACGTTCATCAATATAATATCCAAATCTTCTGTTTTTACTTTTAATTTCAACGGTTTAAGAATGTTATTCTTTGTCAAAATTTCTAGGACTTTAGTGATCTTTCTATTTATATCCTGAATATCATTGCTCTTTTTAGATAAGAATCCAAGATTGTACAATTTTTTTATTATTTCAATGTCATCACGAAGTATTGTGTTTATAAAAGTACATTTATTCTGAATCGCGTAATGTGGCACACAAGAGGCAGTATCCTAGAACATTATTAAAAAAAAATCTTTAAAAAACCCCTATGCATTCTTAACTAAAGAATTTATATCACTTCTTTAAAATGTTGGTTTTGCACGTTCATTTACATAAAAGCTAAATCTTCATATATTTTAAAATCGCATCACGTTACTTCGTTCAAATTAGTCTACATGAAAACGAGTCATAATTAAAATTTCGATAAGAAAGAACTTTGGATTAAAAAATCGTTTATTCAAACAATGCTCAATGATATATGTATTTTATCATAGATTCGAAATCTTATTTTATTTATACGTTTTTCTATTATAACTTTTACTGCTTAATCTATTTTTTAGTTGCAAAGTTTATATTTAATAAATATTTTTACATGTCATTTTATACAATGCTAAAATAAAATTTAACATTTTTTATATTATTATATCCATTATATAATATTATTATTCAAAAGTGCGTCAAAACTATTTACCTCATATGCTGCGGGCCGGTTTGTAGTGTATTTATGATATCTTGCGGCGTATTTATTAAATTTAATGTTTTTCATCATCTCATACTTTGGGACATTAGGCAAATAAAGAATGTTCTTTAAACGCTGTTCAATATTACCACTGGAGATAAGGTAAACCGAGAAAAGTTCCTGATATATGCTGTATGGACTAAAAACAAAATCTTCTTTTGGCTTGATCGTCGCATATTTATGCAGACTTGTCAGGGCGAACTTGAACATCGCATCGGATATAGCAAAATCTGGCAAAAAGATATGAAGAAAAAGCAAGAAAAATTAACGAAAGGGTTATATTAGAAATAAAAATTCTAAATAATTTACAAATGTTAAAATTAATAAATAAGTTATAGCAATTTACAAAATTTTTAATTAAATAAATGAAAATGCAGAGAATATAACGCTTGAAATTTTTCGATACTTATATTGCATGTTTATAAACAGAAATTTTTAACATCTAAATAATTTGATTCTTAATTTAAAGTACGATAAAAATAAGTATACGTACATATAATAATAATCAAAAAAAGAAAGTTTCGCGAGGTAAATATATTTCTACATATCTTATGTTTAGTAACATGTTTACAGCAAAATTTTACAAAATATGTAACAAACTTCTTGAAAAGTATGTTGATTATATTTCCATAAATTAAAATATACACAAAATTCGAAATTGGTCAATCATTATTGATATCTAGGAATATAACATTTAATCAAATATAAATTAGATCATCTGCGAAGTGAAAATTGTATCCAAATAATGAATTTATTATAAGTATATTGTGAAATTGCGAAACATGTTGCTAAAATATATTATTAATACCGACAAATTTCGAAATATATAATGTGCGCAATTCTACTTGTATCAAAAGATCGCGAAATTTGCTATATAATAAAAATTATTGCATCGAAATATAAATAAATTACTCAATAATAACTTTTTAAATACAACTATAATATCACGAAAGAAGTGTATTAGCACTTTAAATATTAATTATTTGTTTGTGAAAACGCAAATCAAAATTGTTTTATATTATAAAAGATTTTTATTCTTACTAAAGAAAGTTTTCTTAAGTTCGTGCTCCATTTTAAGCTATACTGTAGCGAAATCGTGGCGAACTTGCTTTGTCTTCTGTCTCGATATCAGGTAGCCGCAGATTATATATATGTATTTATATTATGTCGCGCACGCGTAAATTGTCTTTGAATGTATTTAAGAAATCTAATCGTTTTTGACTATCCAAAATCATTACATGTACATACAAATACAAATAACGCACTCAGTGCAAATAGGTACACCTAATGTATATTTAATATTAAGAGTTGGTCGACTGAATTATTACCATTATTTAATATTGAATATATACAGAAAATTATATTTTGGCTACTAAAGGTAAGGTACATGAAATTTGAAATAAATCATTCAATGATTAACATTTATGACAAAAAATTTATACATATTAGTATACATGCATATATGCAAATATCTACATAAATATTTATTCATATTTTATATACATATAAATGCATATATTTGATTGTGTTAATTTATATACAAATTTTTAACGTAAATTGATCATAGAATATATCGAGCAGATATAATGTATACCTCAAATTGGCAAAACCTTGACTGAAATAAAATAAAATATTGCTGAAATAGTTACATCTTCCACAACTACATATCTGTTACCAATAGCGTATTATAACGTACATCCGATTTGTGTACCTCTGAATTAGAGAAGAACGTAGCTATCTTAAAAAACTAAAAAGATATCGTTTGAAAATTTATTTTACAAATAATAGAAAGCGGATCATTGTTAAATATTGAGCATTTATTAATTATTTAAGAAAATTAGAAAAATTTTATTTTTTAATAAATGTTCTTTAAAGAACGCTCTATAAAAATCATCTTGCAACTTAATCATCGAAGATGCAAATTTGCGAGCATTCTCATATTTTTAAATTTCATTTTAAATTAAAAAAACCACAATTTTTTATATTATATATGATACTATTTTGCCAATAAACTAATAGAATAAGGAAGAATTATAAAAAAGACAATTCGTGTAGCTTAGAACTAACACAATTTACAAATTTTCTTTACATATCTATGATAACAATAATTATTTATATAAATCTCTTTACTAATATTAAAAGTTGTGCTATGATGTAATATAATAAATAATAAAATTTATTAAATAATACAATAGAAAAAAAAATTTTTAGTTTTTAATTTCAGACAAAATTTGGAGATATAAGATTGCTCGTCAAGTTGTAACACCAACGGTGATAAGATTCTTCAAAGGCGGTTTATTGACCAAAAAAATTTTCTACTTGCAAAAATTTAATAACAAATGCCTCAAAGTTTCGAAATGATTTGCTGTAAAGTGTTTTCAAACAAATTCTCAATAGTCATTCAAATATCTAAAAACTCTTAACTTACGCCCCTTTTAATAATCATAGTAATAAGAACTTTTAAACTTCTCGACGATTAGGTTGAAAGTCGCGAGCGACTCGAGGAATGTCTTATAAAGTTTAGATAAACCAATTTTTTAAAATTTTACAAACGTCAATATACTTGTCAAATTTATTAAATACGCCGATATAAAGAATATCTGCATTCTTTTTGTCGTAAATTAGCCAAACGAACGGATAATTCAGATACATGTTGCTTATACTATTGTTCGAACTGGGTTCTTGTCCACTGATCAAGGTTACCGCAGTCGCAGTGACGTTCTCCGCCGTGACCTTGACACGAGCACGGTGCACGGCATTGCCGAAGTGCACGAATTGATTGTCTTCCGCGAAGGTGTTGTCCAAAGAAATCGCATCGGGCGTCAATAACTGTTCGACGCCTAGTTCTCGCAACAGAACTGGCATATCTAAATTTTTTTCAATTTCAAAGGTCGGCCGAGTAGAAGAAGATAGTGATCCATCTGTTTCTACACAAAACAGCAATTTCCGAAGTATACGCATTCCTTCGCTGGTTGACAATCTTTCAATCAAGCTGGAAAGGCTAGTGCTGCTCGTATCAGTTTTAACCCTCTTGTCTGTGCTTGATGAAAAAGGTGTCAATATAAACAACGACGTGTAATCTTTCTTGATAATTAACTCTTTTACGTCCACCTGTAATTTATCACTGGAAACTAAAAGAAACATCCATATATTATTTTACATTTTCAAAAATTAGAAATTAATTGCGTAAACATATATTATGATTTAATTATAAAGAAATGAAAATAAAATATGTGGCAATAAAACGCGGTAAATTAATTAATTTATTAATATATTCAAACACTTATCAACAATTTTTATACGAGTACTTAAAATTAATACGTAATTATTAATTGCACATTTTCATTGATATTTGTATACCAACATTATGTCTTATTTGATATATTACGCTGCGACAAATTCGTCATAATGACTGCCGAGCACCCAACATTATATATGTATATTTCTTGTTATATTTTAAAAACTTATATAATTATTACAAAAACCCTTTTTAATGTTTAAAAAAACTTCTGTTTGTGACGGTGGAAAAATGGCGATCCCTTTTTAACATTTAAAATTGTTTTGTCATCATTTGATTGATGAAATAAATAAAGCAGTGTTTTTTACGTAATAAATTAAATAGACGAATTATGATTGGATTAAATTTGATTTAATATAAAAAATTTAATTAAAATTTGTGTAAGATTGTGTGAAAAATATATATGCTTACACGTTTTAAAATTTAGATAGCAAGAAGTATTCGATAGTAATCGGTTGACGTTCATCAAAATAATGTCTACACCTTCTCTTTTTATTTCTAATTCCAACGGTTTATGATTGTAATCATTTGTTAGTATTTTTAAAATTTTATTGATTTTTCTATTTATATCTTGGATATCATTGCTCTCATTAGATGTGAATCCACAATTGTACAGATTTCTTATTATTTCGATGTTTTTACGAAGTATTGTGTTTAAAAAAATACATTTATTGTCAATCGCGTACAGTTGCGGTTGATTAGAGGCAGCATCCTAGAACATTAAGAGAAATTTTTGAAAAACCTCTATGCATTCTTTACTAAAAATTTATATCACTTCTTTAAAATGTTTGTTTCGCACGTTCCTTCACATAAGAGTTGAATCTTTATATTTTTAAAATAGCATCAAGTTACTTCGTTCAATATAAACTACATGAAAAAGAGTCAAAATTCCGATAAGCAAAGTCTTTATATTAATAAATAGTTTGATCAAAGAATGCTGAATGATATATGTGTTTTACCAAAGATTCGAAACCGTATTTCGTTTGGACGTTTTTCTATTTTAGCTTTTACTGCTCAATATATTTTTCGGAGTTGCCAAGTTTATATTTAATAAATATTATTACATGTTATGTAATACAACGCAGACTTAAAATTTGATTTTCTTTATTAATATATCCTTTATATAATATTATTAAAAAAAGCGTCAAAACTATTTACCTCCTCTTGTGCGGGCCGTTTTGTAGGGTATTTATGATGTATTGAAGGGTATTTATCAAATTTAATGTTTTTCATCAACTCATACTTCGAAACATTCGGTAAATAAAGAATGTTTCTTAAACGCTGTTCAATATCACCACTGGAGATAAGGTAAACCGAGAAAAGTTCCTGATATATGCTGTACGGACTAAAAACAAAATCTTCCTTTGACTTGATCGTTGCATATTTATGCAGACTTGTCAGGGCGAACTGGAACATCGCATCTGATATAGCAGAACCTGACACAAAGATATGAAGAAAAATCGAAAGAAATTGACAAAAGGGATATGTTAGAAATAAAAGTTCTGAATAATTTACAAATGTTAAAATTAATATATGTGTTATAGAGATTTACGAAATGTGTAATTAAATAAATAAAAATACAGAGCATACAAGGTCCTCAAATTTTTCGACACTTATTTTGCATGTTTATAAGTAAAAATTTTTAACATCTAAATAATTTAATTCTTAATTTGAAGGACGAGAAAATAAAAAGTATATGTACATATAATAATAATTGAAAAAAGAAATAGTTTCGTGATATAAATGTATTTTTACATATCTAATAATTACTAATATGTCCATAGCCAAATTATGCAAAATATGTAACAAACTTTTAGAAGAGTTTGTTGATCATATTTTCATAAATTAGAATATACACACAATTTGAAATTGGTCAGTAATTATTGATATCTAAGAATCTTAATCAAATATAAATTAGATCATCTGCGAAGTAAAAATTGTATCTTAACAATGAACTTATTATACGTATATTGTGAAACTGCGAAACTATTTGCTAAAATATATTATTAATACCGACAGATTTCGAATTATATAATGTGCGCTATTCTACTTGTATCAAAAGATCGCGAAATTTGCTATATAATAATAATCATTGCATCGAAATATAAATATATTTAAATTACTCAATAATAATTATTTAAAAACAACTATAATATCACGAAAGAAATGTATTAGCACTTTAAATATTAATTATTTGTTTGTGAAAACGGAAATCAAAATTGTTTTATATTATAAAAAATATTTATTCTTACTAATGAAAGATTTCCCAACCATCTGCTCCATTTTAGGCAATACTATGGCAAAATCGTGGCGAACTTGCTTTGTCTTCTGTCTCGATATCAGGTAGCCGCAGATTATATATATGTATTTATATTATGTCGCGCACGCGTAAATTGTCTTTGGATGTATTTAAGAAATCTAATCGTTTTTGACTATTCAAAATCATTACATGTACATACGAATACAAATAACATACTCACCTGTGCAAATAAATACACATAACTAAAATATTAAACGCAAAAAAAAACACACGTGCTTAGTTAGGTTTGTTTTTATAATTTTTTATAATTTATATTTGTCGTTTGTATTTATGTAAAATATTAAATCATATTACTTGATATAATGTCAAAAATGTAAATTAATTATAATTTTCTTAGTATTTGTTATCTCTTACATCGCAATACAATTATAAATATCTAAAAAAAATAAATAGCACCTATATATACATATCTAGTATATGTTAAATAAGAAAGAAGCCAAAATTTATTGAATCTGAATAATGTTTTTCTTGAAAAAATTTATAAATTTTCTTTACATATCTATGAAAAATAATTATTTATATTAATCTCTTTACTAATATTAAAGGTTCGTCGACAATGTAATATAATAGATAATAATTATATTTCTAGTTCTTTAATTTCGGACAAAATTTAGAAATATAAAATTGCTCGTCAAGTTGTACCACCAACAGTGATAAGATTCTTCAAAGGCGGTTTTCGAAGTCCATATTTTTGACCAAAAAAATTTTCTATTTGCAAAAATTTAATAACAAATGCTTCGATCTTTCTAAATGATTAGCTGTAAAGTTTTTTTCAAACAAACTCTCCATAATTAATCAAATATCTAAAAACTCGTAACTGACGTCCCTCTTAATAATCATAGTAATAAAGACTTTTAAACATCCCGACGATTAAGTTGAACGTCGCGAGCGACTCGGAGGATGTGTCTTATACAATTTTTTGTTAATCCATTCTGTGAAACCGATTTCATTCCAAGCGCCGGTATTCTTGTCGACTTTATTAAAACGCCGGTATAATCGTCGAATTCATTAAATACGCCGATATAAAAAATATCTGCATTCTTTTTGTCGTAAATTAGCCAGACGAACGGATAATTCAGATACATGTTGCTTATAATATCGTTCGAACTGGGTTCTTGTCCACTGATCACGGTTACTGCAGTCGCCTCGACGTCCTCCTGCGTGACCTTGACACGAGCACGGTGCACGGCATTGCCGAAGTGCGCGCTTCGATCGTTTTCCGCAACGGTGTTGTCCAAAGGAATCGCGTCGGGCGTCATTAACTGATCGACGCCTAGTTCTCGCAACAGAACTTGCATATCTAACTTTTTTTCAATTTTAAAAGTCGGCCAAGTAGCAAAAGATAGTGATCCATCTGTTTTAACACAAGACAGCAATTTCCGAAGTATACGCATTCCTTCGCTGGTTGACAATCTTTCAATCAAGCTGGGAAGGTTAGTGCTGCTCGTATCAGTTTTAACTCTCTTGTCTGTGCTTGATGAAAAAGGTATCAACATAAAAAGCGACGTGAAATCTTTCTTGATGATTAACTCTTTTACGTGCACCTGTAATTCATCACTGGAAACTAAATAAAAACGTTCATATATTATTTTACATTTTCAAGACTTAATTATGAAAAATTTTAAATAAAGTAAATGGCAAAAAAACGCGATAAATTAATTAATTTATGAATATATTCAAACACTTATGAACAATTTTTATGCGAGTACTCAAAATTAATACGTAATTATTAATTGCGCATTTTCATTGATATTTGTATATACCAACAATATGTCTTATTATATATATTACGCTGCGACAAATTCGTCATAATGACTGTCGAACACCAAACATTATATATGTATATTTTTCGTTATATTTTAAAAACTTATATAATCATTACAAAAGCCCTTTCTAATGTTTAAAAAAACTTCTGTTTGTAACGGTAAAAAAATGGTGACTATTTTTTAACATTTAATATTGTTTTGTCATCATTTTATTGATGAAATAAATAAAGCAGTGTTTTTTACGTAATAAATTAAATAGACGAATTATCATTAGATAATATTTAATTTAATTTAAGAAATTTAAAAATTGTGTAAGATTGTATAAAAATATATATGCTTACATGTTTGAAAATTCAGATAGGAAGAAGTCGATAGACATTGGTCGACACTATTCCTGCTATTTGTCGGTTCAAAGATTAATTTCCACGGTAGATTTTGACCGTAGAAATTATGTATGTTTGTCAAAATAATGTCCATAGCTTTTCTTCTTACTTTTAATTCCAACGGTATAAGAATGTAATTCTTTGTCAGGTCTTTTAAAATTTTATTGATTTTTCTATTTATATCTTGGATATTATTGCTCTCATTAGATGTGAATCCACATTTGTACAGTTTTATTATTATTTCGATGTTTTTACGAAGTATTGTGTTTAAAAAAGCACATTTATTCTGAATCGCGTAACGTTGAGGCAGATTAGAGGCAGCATCCTAGAACATTAAAAGAAATTTTTAAAAGACTTCTATGCATTCTTAACTATAAAATTTATATCACTTCTTTAAAATGTTTGTTTTGCACGTTTATTCACATAAGGGCTTAATCTTCATATATTTTAAAATCGCATCAACTTACTTCGTTTAAACTAGACTACATAAAAAAGAGTGAAAATTACAAGTTCGATAAGCAAGATCTTTATATTAATAAATAGTTTATTCAAAGAATGCTGAATGATATATGTGTTTTACCAAAGATTCGAAACCGTATTTCGTTTAAACGTTTTTCTATTATAGCTTTTACTGCTCAATATATTTTTTGGAGATGCCAAGTTTATATTTAATAATTATCATTACATGTTATGTAATACAACGCAGACTTAAAATTTAATTTTCTTTATTATTATATCCATTATTTAATATTATTATTAAGAAGAGCGTCAAAACTATTCACCTGAGAGCATGCAAGCTGTATTGCAGAGTATTTACGAAATTTAATGTTTTCATCAACTCATACTTCGAAACATTCGGTAAATAAAGAATGTTCTTTAAACGCTGTTCAATATCACCACTGGAGATAAGGTAAACCGAGAAAAGTTCCTGATATATGCTGTACGGACTAAAAACAAAATCTTCCTTTGACTTGATCGTCGCATATTTATGCAAACTTGTCAGGGCGAATTGGAACATCGCATCCGATATAACAGAACCTGGCAAAAAGATATAAAAAAAATTAAGAGAAATTAACGAAAGGGTTATATTAGAAATAAAAATTTTAAATAATTTACAAATGTCAGAATTAATAAATAAGTTATAGCAATTTACAAAATTTTTAATTAAATAAATGAAAATGCAAAGAATATAACGCTTGAGATTTGTTGATACTTATTTTGCATGACTATAAACAAAAATTTTTACATCTAAATAATTTAATTCTAAATTTGAAGTACGATAAAATAAAGTATACGTACATATAATGATAATAAAAAAAAAAGTTTTGCGGGGTAAATATATTTTTACATATCTTATGTTTAGTAACATGTTTACGGCAAAATTTTACAAAATATGTAACAAACTTCTTGAAAAGAGAAAAGAGAGAAAGAGAGAGAGAGAGAGAGAGTACGTTGATTATATTTCCATAAATTAAAATATACACAAAATTCGAAATTAGGCTATCATTATTGACATCTAAAAATATAACATTTAATTAAATATAAATTAGATCATCTGCGAAGTGAAAATTGTATTCAAATAATGAACTTATTATACGTATTGTAAAATTGCGAAACAATTTGCTAAAATATATTATTAATACCGACAGATTTCAAAATATATAATGTGCGCAATTCTACTTGTATCAAAAAATCACGAAATTTGCTATATAATAATAAATATTGCATCAAAATATAAATAAATTACTCAATAATAACTTTTTAAAAACGATTATAATATCACGAAAAAAGTATTAGCACTGTATATGTTAATTATTTGTTTGTGGAAACGAAAATCAAAATTGTTTTATATTATAAAAGATATTTATTTTTACTATTGAGAGTTTTCTCAACTTATTGTTCCATTTTAGGTACACATAATGTATATTTAATATTAAGAGTTGGTCCGATTGAATTATTACCATTATTTAATATTAAATTTTACAGAAAATTATCTTTTAACTACTAAAAGTCTCTATCATGAAATTTGACATAAGTCATTCAATGATTAACATTTATGAAAAAAAATTTATACATATTAGTATACATGCATATATGCAAATATCTACATAAATATGTATTCATATTTTATATACATATGAATGCATATATTTGATTGTGTTAATTTATATACAAATTTTTAACGTAAATTGATCATAGAATATTTCGAGCAGATATAGTGTAAACCTTAAATTGGCAAAACCTTGACTGATAAGAAATAAAATATTGCTAAAATAGTTACATCTTCCACAACTACATATCTGTTACCAATAGCGTATTATAGCGTATTATAACGTACATTTTATTTGTGTACTTCCGAACTAGAGAGGAACGTAACTATCTTAAAGAACGCAAAATATATCGTTTGAGTATTTATTTTACAAATAATGCAAAGCGGATCATTGTTAAATATTGAGTATTTATTAATTATTTAAGAAAATTAGAAAATTTTTCTTTTTTAATAAATGTTCTTTAAAGGACGCTCTATAAAATACATCTTGCAACTTAATCATCGAAGATGCAAATTTGTGAGCATTCTCATATCTCTAAATCTCATTTGAAATTAAAAAACCACAATTTCTTATATTATTTATGATACTATTTTGCCAATGAACTAATAAAATAAGGAAGAATTAAGAAAATGACAATTCGCGTGTAGCTTAGAACTAGTACAATTTACAAATTTTCTTTACATATCTATAATAACTATAATTATTTATATAAATTTCTTTACTAATATTAATAGTTTATCGATGATGTAATATAATAAATAATAAAAGTTATTAAATAATACAATTAAAAATAACATTTTTAGTTTTTAATTTCAGACAAAATTCGGAGATATAAGATTGCTCGTCAAGTTGTAACACCAACGGCGATAAGATTCTTCAAAGGCGGTTTATTGACCAAAAAAATTTTCTACTTGTAAAAATTTAATAACAAATGCCTCAAAGTTTCGAAATGATTTGCTGTAAAGTGTTTTTAAACAAATTCTCAATAGTCATTCTAATATCTAAAAATCCTTAACTTACGCCTCTTTTAGTAATCATAGTAATAAAGACTTTTAAACTTCCCGACAATTAGGTTGAACATTGCGAGCCACTCGAAAGATATGTCTTATAAAGTTTTGGTAAACCAATCTGTGAAAGATTCACTACAAACGTCAATACACTTGTCAACTTCATTAAATACGCCGATATAAAGAATATCTGCATTCATTTTGTCGTAAATTAGCCAAACAAACGGATAATTCAGATACATGTTGCTTATAATATCGTTCGAACTGGGTTCTTGTCCACTGATCAAGGTTACCGCAGTCGCAGTGACGTTCTTCTCCGTGACCTTGACACGAGCACGGTGCACGGCATTGCCGAAGTGCACGAATTGATTGTCTTCCGCAAAGGTGTTGTCCAAGGAATCGCGTCGGGCGTCAATAACTGTTCGACGCCTAGTTCTCGCAACAAAAGTTGCATATCTAAATTTTTTTCAATTTCAAAGTTCAGCCGAGTAGGAACAGATGGTAATTTATCTTTTTCTTCGTTTTTACAAGACAGCAATTTTCGAAGTACACGCATTCCTTCGGTGGTTGACAATCTTTCAATCAAGCTGGAAAGGCTAGTGCTGCTCGTACCAGTTTTAGCGTTTACACGCATTTCTTCGCTGGTCGACTCTCTTTCGTACAAGCTGGGAAGGCTAATGCTGCTCGTATCAGTTTTAGCGTTTATACGCATTCCTTCGCTGGTTGACAATTGTTCGTTCAGGATAGAAAGACTAGTGCTGCTCGTATCAGTTTTAACGTTTATACGCATTTTTTTGCTGGTCGACTCCTTCGTACAAGCTGGAAAACTAGTGCTGCTCGTACCAGTTTTAGCGTTTACACGCATTCTTCGCTGGTCGACTCTCTTTCGTACAAGCTGGGAAGGCTAATGCTGCTCGTATCATTTTCTATACGCATTCCTTCGCTGGTTGACAATTGTTCGTTCAGGATAGAAAGACTAGTGCTGCTCGTATCAGTTTTAACGTTTACACGCATTTCTTCGCTGGTCGACTCTCTTTCGTACAAGCTGAAAAGACTAGTGCTGCTCGTATCAGTTTTAACCTTTTTGTTTTTTTTGCTGGTCGACTGTCCTTCGTACAACGTGCTAGTTTGATAACCTTAATGATTTGTCAATAGATACCGTAACAATCTTTGATAAATAACTCTTTACGAAAATCACTGAAATCTAAGAAAAATCCATATATCATTTTACATTTCCAAGAATTAGAAATTATTTGCGCGCGTAAACATATATTATGACTTAATTATAAAGAAATAAATAAAATTAAATGCAATAAAACGCAATAAATTATTTAATTTATGAATATATTCAAACACTTATAAACAATTTTTATACGAGTACTTAAAATTAATACGTAATTATTAATTGCGCATTTTCATTGATATTTGTATACCAACAATATGTCTTATTTTATATATTACTCTGCGACAAATTCGTCATAATGACTGCCGAGCACCCAACATTATATATGTATATTTCTCGTTATATTTTAGAAACTTATATAATCACACATTACAAAAAACCTTTTCTAATGTTTAAAAAACGTTTATTCCTGACGGTGGAAAATGATTCTTTTTTAACATTTAATATTGTTTTGTCATCATTTTATTGATGAAATAAATAAAGCAGTGTTTTTTACGTAATAAATTAAGTAAACGAAGTATTATTGGATTAAACTTGATTTAATTTAAAAAATTTGTGTAAGATTGTGTGAAAAATATATATGCTTACACGTTTTAAAACTTAGAGAGGAAGAAGTATTTGACATTAATCGGTTGACGTTCATCTCATTAATTTTCCATTGTGAGATTGATTGATATGGACCGTGGAAATTATGCACGTTCATCAAAATAATGTCCATAGCTTCTCTTTTTACTTCTAATTTCAACGGTTTAAAATTGTAATCGTCTGTAGAGCTTTTTAAAATTTTATTGGTCATTCTATTTATATCGTGAATATCATTGCTCTCATTAGATGTGAATCCACAATTGTACAGTTTTGTTATTATTTCGATGTTTTTACGAAGTGTTGTGTTTAAAAAAATACATTTATTGTCAACCGCGTACAGTTGAGGCTGATTAAAGGCAGCATTCTACAACATTAAGAGAAATTTTTAAAAAACCTCTATACATTCTCTTTACTAAAAATTTATATCACTTATTTAAAATGTTTGTTCACACGTTCATTCACATAAGAATTGAATCTTCATATATTTAAAATAGCATCAAGTTACTTTGTTCAAATTAATCTACATGAAAACAAATCAAAATTAAAATTTTGATAAGCAAAGTCTTTATATTAATAAATAGTTTATTCAAAGAATGCTGAATGATATATGTGTTTTACCAAAGATTCAAAACCGTATTTTGTTTGTAGACGTTTTCTATTATAGCTTTTACTGCTCAATATATTTTTCGGAGTTGCCAAGTTTATATTTAATAAATATTATTACATGTTATGTAATACAACGCAGACTTAAAATTTAATTTTTTTATTAATATATCCATTATTTAATATTATTAAAAAGAGCGTCAAAACTATTTACCTCATACCCTGCAGGCCGTTTTGTAGCGTATTTATGATGTATTGAGGAATATTTATCAAATTTAATGATTCTCATCAACTCATATTTAGAGACATTCGGTAAATAAAGAATGTTCTTTAAACGCTGTTCAATATCACCACTGGAGATAAGGTAAACCGAGAAAAGTTCCTGATATATGCTGTACGGACTAAAAACAAAATCTTCCTTTGACTTGATCGTCGCATATTTATGCAAACTTGTCAGGGCGAACTTGAACATCGCATCGGATATAGCAGAACCTAGCAAAAAGATATGACGAAAAACCAAGAGAAACTAACGAAAGAGATATATTAGAAATAAAAATTCTGAATAATTTACAAATGATAAAATTAATATATATGTTATAGAAATTTACGAAATGTGTAATTAAATAAATGAAAATACAGAGCATACAACGTCTTCAACTTTTTCGACACTTATTTTGCATGTTTATAAGTAGAAATTTTTAACATCTAAATAATTTAATTCTTAATTTGAAGGACGAGAAAATAAAAAGTATACGTACATATAATGATAATCGAAAAAAGAAATAGTTTCGTGGGACAAATGTAATTTTACATATCTAATGTTTACTAACATGTCCATAGCCAAATTATGCAAAATATGTAACAAACTTTTTGAAGAGTATGTTGATTATATTTTCATAAATTAGAATATACACACAATTCGAAATTGGTCAGTAATTATTGATATCTATAAATCTAACATTTAATCAAATATAAATTAGATCATCTGCGAAGTAAAAATTGTATTCTAACAGTGAATTTATTATATGTATATTGTGAAATTGCGAAACCATTTGCTAAAATTTATTATTAATACCGACAGATTTCGATTTATATAATGTGCGCAATTCTACTTGTATCAAAAATCGCAAAGTTTTCTATATAATAATAATGATTACATCGAAATATAAATAAATTACTCAATAATAATTATTTAAAAACAACTATAATATTACGAAAGAAATGTATTAGCACTTTAAATATTAATTATTTGTTTGTGAAAACGGAAATCAAAATTGTTTTATTATAAAAAATATTTATTCTTACTAATGAAAGATTTCCCAACCATCTGCTCCATTTTAGGCAATACTATGGCAAAATCGTGGCGAACTTGCTTTGTCTTCTGTCTCGATATCAGGTAGCCGCAGATATATATATATATGTATTTATATTATGTCGCGCACGCGTAAATTGTTTTTGGATGTATTTAAGAAATCTAAACGTTTTTGACTATTAAGTATCATTACGCGTACATACGAATACAAATAAGACACTCACCTGTGCAAATGAATACACATAACTGAAATGTTAAACGCAAAAAAAACACACGTGCTTAGTTAGGTTTGTTTTTATAATTCCTTTATAATTTATTTGTCGTCTCGAGGTTTATATTTATATATTTTAGTTTTTATTTTTATATTTTATGTATTTGTATAAAATATTAAATCATATTACTTGATATAATGTCAAAAATGTAATTTATTTATAATTTTATTAGTATTCGTTATCTCTTACATCGAAATACAATTATAAATATCTAAAAAATAGATAGCACCTATATATACATATATAATATATGTTAAATAAGAAAGAAGTCAAAAATTTATTGAATCTGAATAATGTTGCAGCGCAGAAAAAGAGAATATAGATACAATTTAATATAACAGTTGCAACATATTATCGATGATATAAAGTATAGTTCTAAAATTTACAGCAACGTTATATAATAAAATGAAAATAATAAGTTGAAAGTATTACATATTTAAAAATAATGAGAATACTATTAACATTTTCTCCTATTTTATGATATCACATTTAATATTTTTGCAATTTTGTATAACACATATTTAAGATATATTCTATAATATATATTTAATATTAAATTTCGACAGAGAATCATCTTTTGACTACCAAAGGTGTCTATCATAGGATTTAAAATACATAAGTCATTCAATGATTAATATTTATGACAAAAAATTTATACACATTTGTATATATGTAAATATCTACATAAATATGTATTCATATTTCATATACATGTGTATGCATATATTTGATTGTGTTAATTTATATACAAATTTTTAACGTAAATTGATCATAGAATATATCGAGCAGATATAGTGTATACCTCAAATTGGAAAACCTTGACTGAAATAAAATATAATATTGCTAAAATAGTTACATCTTCCACAACTACAAATCTGTTACCAATAGCGTACATCCAATTTGTGTACCTCTGAATTAGAGAGGAACGTAACTATCTTAAAGAACGCAAAAGGTATCGTTTGAGTATTTATTTTACAAATAATGCAAAGCGGTTTATTGCAAAATTTTAAGCATTTATTAATTATTTAAGAAAATAAGAAAATTTTTCTTCTTTAATAAATGTTCTTTAAAAGAACTCTTTATATAAATCATCTTGCAACTTAATCATCGGAGATGCAAATTTGCGTGCATTCTCATATCTCTAAGTACCATTTGAAATTAAAAAACCACAATTTCTTATATTATTTATGATATTATTTTGCCAATGAACTAATAAAATGAGAAAGAATTATGAAATTGATAATATGGTGCAACTTAGAACTAATACAATTTACAAATTTTCTTTACATATCTATGAAAGAAAATTATTTATATAAATCTCTTTACTAATATTAAAAGTTCACCGACAATGTAATATAATAAATAATAAAAGTTATTAAATAATACAATTACGAATAAAATTTTTAGTTTTTTAAATTCAGACAAAATTTGGAGATATAAGATTGCTCGTCAAGTTGTCACACCAACGGCGATAAGATTCTTCAAAGACGGATTTCAAGGTACATATTTTTGACCACAAACATTTTCTACTTGTAAAAATTTAATAACAAATGCCTAAAAGTTTCGAAATGATTCGCTGTAAAATTTTTTCAACCGAATTCTCAATAGTCATTCAAATATCTAAAAAACCTTATCTTACGCTCTTTTTAGTAATCATAGTAATGAAGACTTTTAACATCCCGACGATTAGGTTGAGCGTCGCGAGCCACTCGGAGAATATGTCTTATAAAGTTTTGCTAAACAAATCTGTAAAAGTTTCATTACAAACATCGGTATACTTGTCGACTTCATTAAATATGCCGATATAAAGAATATCTGCATTCCATTTGTCGCAAATTAGCCAGACGAACGGATAATTCAGATACATGTAGCTTATAGTATAGTTCGAACAGGGTTCTTGGCCACTGATCAAGGTTACCGCAATCGCAGTAACATTCTCTTCCGTGACCTTGACATGAGCATGGTGCACGGCATTGCCGAAGTGCACGAATTGATCGTCTTCCGCGAAGGTGTTGTCCAAAGGAATTGCGTCGGGCGTCAATTAACTGTTCGACGCCTAGTTCTCGCAACAAAACTTGCATATCTAACCTTTTTTCAATTTCAAAGGTCGGCCAAGTAACAAAAGATAGTGATCCACCTGTTTCTACACAAAACAGCAATTTCCGAAGTTTACGCATTCCTTCGCTGGTTGACAATCTTTCAATCAAGCTGGGAAGGCTAGTGCTGCTCGTATCAGTTTTAACTCTCTTGTCTGTGCTTGATGAAAAAGGTATCAACATAAACAGCGACGTGAAATCTTTCTTGATGATTAACTCTTTTACGTGCACCTGTAATTCGTCACTGGAAACTAAAAAAAAACGTCCATATATTATTTTACATTTCCAAGAATTAGAAATTATTTGCGTAAACACATATTATGACTTAATTATAAAGAAATGATAATAAAATAAGTAGCAATAAAACGCGATAAATTAATTAATTTATGAATATATTCAAAAATTTAAAAAAAATTTTTATACGAGTACTTAAAATTAATACGTAATTATTAATTGCGCATTTTTATTAATATTTGTATACCAACAATATGTCTTATTTTACATATTACGCTGCGACAAATTCGTCTTAATGGCTGCCGAGCACCCAACATTATATATGTATATTTCTCGTTATATTTTAAAAACGTATATAATCATTACACAAAAACCCTTTCTAATTTTAAAAAAAAACTTCTGTTTGTGACGGTGGAAAAATGGCGATCCCTTTTAACATTTAAAATTGTTTTGTTATTATTTCATTGATGAAATAAATAAAGAAGTGTTTCTTACGTAAAAAATTAAATAGACGAATTATTATTAGATTAAATTTGATTTAATTTAAAAAATTCAATTAAAATTTGTGTAAAATTGTGTAAAAAAATATATGCACTTACACGTTTTAATACTTAAATTTGAAGAAGTATTCGATAGTAATCGGTCCGAGTCGAGACTCATCTCAATACTTGTCAGTTGTGAGATTGATCGATATCGACCGTGGAAATTATGTACGTTCATCAAAATAATGTCCACACCTTCTCTTTTTATTTCTAATTCCAACGGCTTATAATTGTAATCCTTTGTCAGTATTTTTAAAATTTGATTGATTTTTCTATTTATATCTTGGATATCATTGCTCTCATTAGATGTGAATCCACAATTGTACAGTTTTTTTATTTCAATGTTTTTACGAAGTATTGTGTTTAAAAAAATACATTTATTGTCAACCGCGTACAGTTGAGATTGATTAGAGGCAGCATTCTAGAACATTGAGAGAAATTTTTAAAAAACCTCTATGCATTTTTTACTAAAAGATTTATATCACTTATTTAAAATGTTTGTTCACACGTTTATTCACATAAGAGTTGAATCTTCATATATTTAAAATTGCATCAAGTTACTTCGTTCAAATTAATCTACATGAAAACAAATCAAAATTAAAATTTCGATAAGCAAAGTCTTTATTTTAATAAATCGTTTATTCAAAGAATGCTGAATGATATATGTGTTTTACCAAAGATTCGAAACCGTATTTCGTTTGGACGTTTTTCTATTATAGCTTTTACTGCTCAATATATTTTTCGGAGTTGCCAAGTTTATATTTAATAAATATTATTACATGTTATGTAATGCAACGCAGACTTAAAATTTAATTTTCTTTATTAATATATCCATTATTTAATATTATTAAAAAGAGCGTCAAAACTATTTACCTCATCCCGTGCGGGCCGTTTTGTAGGGTATTTATGATGTATTGAAGAGTATTTATCAAATTTAATGTTTCTCATCAACTCATACTTCGAAACATTCGGTAAATAAAGAATGTTCTTTAAACGCTGTTCAATATCAGCACTGGAGATAAGGTAAACCGAGAAAAGTTCCTGATATATGCTGTACGGACTAAAAACAAAATCTTCCTTTGACTTGATCGTCGCATATTTATGCAAACTTGTCAGGGCGAATTGGAACATCGCATCCGATATAGCAGAACCTGACACAAAGATATAAAGAAAAACCAAAAGAAATTGACGAAAGGGATATGTTAGAAATAAAAATTCTGAATAATTTACAAATGATAAAATTAATATATATATGTTATAGAAATTTACGAAATGTGTAATTAAATAAATGAAAATACAAAGCATGCAACGTCTTCAAATTTTTCGACACTTATTTTGCATGTTTATAAGTAGAAATTTTTAACATCTAAATAATTTAATTCTTAATTTGAAAGACGAGAAAATAAAAAGTATACGTACATATAATGATAATCGAAAAAAGAAATAGTTTCGTGGGATAAATGTATTTTTACATATCTAATGTTTACTAACATGTCCATAGCCAAATTACGCAAAATATGTAACAAACTTTTTGAAGAGTATGTTGATTTCATTTTCATAAATTAGAATTTACACACAATTCGAAATTGGTCAGTAATTATTGATATTTATAAATCTAACATTTAATCAAATATAAATTGAATCATCTGCGAAGTAAAAATTGTATTCTAACAATGAACTTATTATACGAATATTGTGAATATGCAAAACCATTTGCTAAAATTTAATATTAATACCGACAGATTTCGAATTATATAATGTGCGCAATTCTACTTGTATCAAAAAATCGCAAAGTTTGCTATATAATAATAATCATTGCATCGAAATATAAATATATTTAAATTACTCAATAATAATTATTTAAAAACAACTATAATATCACGAAAGAAATGTATAGCACTTTAAATATTAATTATTTGTTTGTGAAAACGGAAATCAAAATTGTTTTATATTATAAAAAATATTTATTCTTACTAATGAAAGATTTCTCAACCTTCTGCTCCATTTTAGGCAATATTATGGCAAAATCGTGGCGAACTTGCTTTGTCTTCTGTCTCGATATCAGGTAGCCGCCGATTAAATATATGTATTTATATTATGTCGCGCACGCGTAAATTGTCTTTAGATGTATTTAAGAAATCTAAACGTTTTTGACTATTATGTATCATTACACGTACATACGAATACAAATAAGACACTCACCTGTGCAAATAAATACACATAACTGAAATGTTAAACGCAAAAAAACACACGTGCTTAGTTAGGTTTGTTTTTATAATTCCTTTATAATTTATTTGTCGTTTTGGGGTTTATATTTTAGTTTTCATATTTATATTTTATGTATTTGTATAAAATATTAAATCATATTACTTGATATAATGTCAAAAATGTAATTTATTTATAATTTTATTAGTATTCGTTATTTCTTACATCGTAATACAGTTATAAATATCTAAAAAAATAGATAGCACTCATATATACATATATAGAATATGTTAAATAAGAAAAAGTCAAAAATTTATTGAATCTGAATAATGTTGCAGCCCAGAAAAAAAGGATATAGATACAATTTAATATAACAGTTGCAATATATTATCGATGATATATAGTATAATTCTAACATTTACAGCAACGTTATATAATGAAATTAAAATAATAAGTTGAGAGTATCACATATTTAAAAATAAAGAAAATACTATTAACATTTTCTCATATTTTATGATAGAACATTTAATATTTTTGCAATTTTGTGATGCAATTTAAGATATATTCTATAATGTATATTTAATATTAAATTTCGACAGAGAATTATCTTTTGGCTACCAAAGGTCTCTATCATAAGATTTGAAATACATAAGTCATTCAATGATTAACATTTATGATAAAAAATTTATACATATTTGTATACAGGGTGTCCGGTAACTAATGGACCAATGATTAACGGCGGATTCTCTGGCCAATTTGGAGACGACTTTTTTTAGCAAAAATGTTAAGAAGTCAATAATTTTCGAGTTATAAGCGATTGAAAAAAATTGGGTTTATGGACAACTAAACGATTTGGAGTTAAAAGTCTAACATAATTACATTCTTCAGTTAATTTCAGGTAAAATTTACTATAATAAAATTTTAATTTGAAGCTTAGTTATAAAGATACGTAATGACAAATATTGGAAAGTTGTAAAAAATGATAACCTTTTTTGACATTTTTGCTGAGGAAAAATCGTTTCCAAATTGACCAAAGAATCCATTTGTGATCGTTGGTCCGTTAGTTACCGAACACCCTGTATATGCATATATGTAAATATTTACGTTAATATGTATTCATATTTTATATACATGCGTATGCATATATTTGATTGTCTTAATTTATATTCAAAAATTTTTAACATAAATTGATCATAGAATATATCGGGCAGATGTAGTGTAAACCTCAAGTTGACAAAATATTGACTAAAAAGATATAAAATATTGTTAAAATAATTACATCTATCACAACTACAGATCTGTTACCAATAGCGTATTATAGCGTACATCCGATTTGTGTACCTTTGAATTAGAGAGGAACGTAACTATTTTAAAAAACGCAAAAGGTATTGTTTGAGTATTTATTTTACAAATAATGCAAAGCGGTTTATATTGCAAAATTTTAAGCATTTATTAATTATTTAAGAAAATAAGAAAATTTTTCTTTTTTAATAAATGTTCTTTAAAAGAACTCTTTATATAAATCATCTTGCAACTTAATCATCGAAGATGCAAATTTGCGTGCATTCTCATATCTCTAAGTACCATTTGAAATTAAAAAACCACAATTTTTTATATTATTTATGATATTATTTTGCCAATGAACTAATAAAATGAGAAAGAATTATGAAATTGACAATATGGTGCAACTTAGAACTAATACAATTTACAAATTTTCTTTACATATCTATGAAAGAAAATTATTTATATAAATCTCTTTACTAATATTATAAGTTCACCGACAATGTAATATAATAAATAAAAGTTATTAAATAATACAATTACGAATAAAATTTTTGTTTTTAAATTCAGACAAAATTTGGAGATATAAGATTGCTCGTCAAGTTGTCACACCAACGGCGATAAGATTCTTCAAAGACGGATTTCAAGGTACATATTTTTGACCACAAACATTTTCTACTTGTAAAAATTTAATAACAAATGCTTAAGAGTTTCGAAATGATTCGCTGTAAAATTCTTTCAAACGAATTCTCAATAGTCATTCAAATATCTAAAAACCTTAACTTACGCCCTTTTTAGTAATCATAGTAATGAAGACTTTTAAACTTCCCAACGATTAGATTGAACATTGCAAGCCACTCGAAAGATATGTCTTAAAAAGTTTTGTTAAACCAATCTGTGAAAGATTCACTACAAACGTCAATAAACTTGTCAACTTCATTAAATACGCCGATATAAAGAATATCTGCATTCCATTTGTCGTATATTAGCCAGACGAACGAATAATTCAGATACATGTAGCTTATAATATCGTTCGAACTGAGTTCTTGTTCACTGATCAGAGTTACCGCAGTAGCAGTGACGTTATCCTCCATGACCTTGACACGAGCACGGTGCACGGCATTGCCGAAGTGCACGAATTGATTGTTTTCCGCGAAGGTGTTGTCCAAAAGAATCGCGTCGGACGTCAATAACTGTTCGACGCCTAGTTCTCGCAACAAAACTGGCATATCTAAATTTTTTTCAATTTCAAAGGTCGGCCAAGTAGCGAAAGATAGTGATCCACCTGTTTCTACACAAAACAGCAATTTCCGAAATTTACGCATTCCTTCGCTGGTAGACAATCTTTCAATCAAGCTGGAAAGGCTAGTACTGCTCGTATCAGTTTTAACTCTCTTGTCTGTGCTTGATGAAAAAGGTATCAACATAAACAGCGACGTGTAATCTTTCTTGATGATTAACTCTTTTACGTTCACCTGTAATTCATCACTAGAAACTAAAAAAAAACGTTCATATATCATTTTACATTTTCAAGAATTAGAAATTATTTGCGTAAACATATATTATGACTTAATTAGAAAGAAATAAAAATAAAATAAGTGGCAATAAAACGCGATAAATTAATTGATTTATGAATATATTCAAACACTTATGAACATTTTTTATACGAGTACTAAAAATTAATACGTAATTATTAATTGAGCATTTTCATTGATATTCGTATACCATCAATATGTCTTATTTTATATATTACGCTGCGACAAATTCGTCATAATGACTGCCGAGCACCAAACATTATATATGTATATTTTTCGTTATATTTTAACAACTTATATAATCATTACAAAAGCCCTTTCTAATGTTTAAAAAAAGTCTGTTCCTGACGGTGGAAAATGGCGACTTTTTTTTAACATTTAATATTGCTTTGTCATTATTTTATTGATGAAATAAATAAAGCAGTGTTTTTTGACGTAATAAATTAAATAAACAAATTATGATTGGATTAAATTTAATTTAATTTAAGAAATTTAAAATTTGTGTAAGATTGTATAAAAAATATATTTGCTTACATGTTTTAAAATTTAGATAAAGAGAAGTATTCGATGCTAGTTGATCACAGTCGAGACTCATCTCATTACTTGTCGGTTGTGGAATTAATCGATATCGACCGTGGAAATTATGTACGTTCATCATAATAATGTCGATAGTTTCTCTTTTTACTTCTAATTTCAACGGTTTAAGAATGTAATTCTCTGTCCAGCTATTTAAAATTTTATTGGTCTTTCTATTTATATCGTGGATATCATTGCTTTCTTTAAACGTGAATCCAAAATTGTACAGTTTTCTTATTATTTTGATGTTTTTACAAAGTATTGTGTTTAAAAAGATACATTTATTCTGAATCATGTAATGTTGAGGCAGATTAGAGGCAGCATCCTAGAACATTAAGAGAAACTTTTAAAAAACCTCTATGTATTTTTAACTAAAAAATTTATATCACTTCTTTAAAATGTTTGTTTCGCACGTTCATTCACATAAGAGTTGAATCTTCATATATTTTAAAATTGCATCAAGTTACAACAATCGTTCAAATTAATGTACATGAAAAAGGATATAAATTAAAATTTCGATAAGCAAGGTCTTTATATTAAAAAATTGTTTATTCAAAGAATGCTCTATGATATATGTGTTTCACCAAAGATTCTAAACCGTATTTTGTTTAGACGTTTTTCTATTATAGCTTTTACTGCTCAATGTATTTTTCGGAGTTGCCAAGTTTATATTTAATAAATATCTTTACTTGTTATGTAATACAACGCAGACTTTAAATTGAATTTTTATTATTATTATATCCATTATTCAATATTATTATTAAAGAAAGCGTCAAAACTATACGTATTTACCTGAGGGCATGCAGACTGTATTGCGGGGTATTTACGAAATTTAATAATTTTCATCAACTCATACTTCGAGACATTCGGTAAATAAAGAATGTTTTTTAAACGCTGTTGAATATCACCACTGGAAATAAGGTAAACCGAGAAAAGTTCCTGATATATGCTGTACGGACTAAAAACAAAATCTTCCTTTGGCTTGATCGTCGCATATTTATGCAGACTTGTTAGGGCGAACTGCAAAATCGCATCTGATATAGTAAAATCTGGCAAAAAAATATGAAGAAAAACCAAGAGAAATTAACGAAGGAGATATGTTAGAAATAAAAATTCTGAATAATTTACAAATTATAAAATTAATATATATGTTATAGAAATTTACGAAATGTGCAATTAAATAAATGAAAATACAGAGCATACAAGATCTTCAAATTTTTCGACACTTATTTTGCATGTTTATAAATAGAAATTTTTAACATCTAAATAATTTAATTTTTAATTTGAAGTACGAGAAAATAAAAAGTATACGTACATATAATGATAATCGAAAAAAGAAATAGTTTCGTGGGACAAATGTATTTTTACATATCTAATGTTTACTAACATGTCCATAACCAAATTATGCAAAATATGTAACAAACTTTTTGAAGAGTATGTTGATTATATTTTCATAAATTAAAATATACACACAATTCGAAATTGGTCAGTAATTATTGATATCTAAGAATCTAACAATTAATCAAATATAATTTGGATCATCTGAGAAGTAAAAATAGTATTCTAACAATGAACTCATTATACGTATATTGTGAAACTGCGAAACTATTTGCTAAAATTTATTATTAATACCGACAGATTTCGAAATATATAATGTGCGCAATTCTATTTGTATCAAAAAATCGCGAAATTTGTTATATAATGTAATATTTCTATATTGCATCAAAATAAAATTATAAATTATTCAATAATATTTAATTTAAAACGATTATAATATCACGAAAAAAGTATTAGCACTGTATATGTTAATTATGTTTGTAAAAACAGAAATCAAAATTGTTTTATATTATAAAAGATATTTATTCTTACTAATGAGAGTTTTCTTAACTTTCTTCTCCATTTTAAGCTATATTGTGGGAAAATCGCGGCAAACTTGCTTTGTCTTCTGTCTTGATATCAAGTAGCCGCAGATTATATATATGTATTTATATTACGTCGCGCACGCGTAAATTGTCTTTGAATATATTTATGAAATCTTGTATTTGACTATCCAGAATTATTACATGTACATACAATTACAAAAAATACACTCAGTGCAAAGAGGTGCACATAACTAAAATATTAAATGCAAAAAAAACATACGTGCTTTTTTAGGTTTGTTTTTATAATTTTTTTATAATTTATTTGTCGTCTTGAGGTTTATTTTTTAGTTTTCGTTTTTGTATTTTATATATTCATATGAAATATTAAATGATATTACTTGATATAATGTCAAAAATGTAAATTATTTATAATTTTATTAGTATTCGTTATCTCTTACATCGTAATACAATTATAAATATCTAAAAAAATTAATAGCACCTATATATACATATATAGTATATGTTAAATAAGAAAAAAGTCAAAAATTTATTGAATTTGAATAATGTTGCAGCCTAGAAAAAGAATTTTCCTTTATTTTATGATAGTACATTTAATATTTTCGCAATTTTGTAACACATATTTAAGATATATTATATAATGTATATTTAATATTATATAAATTTCTACCGGTGGATTATCTTTTGGCTACCAAAGGTCTCTATCTTGAGATTTGAAATAAGTCATTCAATGATTAACATTTATGACAAAAAATTTATATATATATGTATACATGCATATATGCATATATCTACATAAATATGTATTTATATTTTATATACATATGTATGCATATATTTGATTGTGTTAATATATATACAAATTTTTAACATAAATTGATCATAGAATATATGGGGCACATATAGTGCAAACCTCAAATTGACAAAACCTTGACTGAAAAGATATAAAATATTGCTAAAATAGTTACATCTTCCACAACTACAGATCTGTTACCAATAGCGTATTATAGCGTACATCCGATTTGTGTACCTTTAAATTAGAGAGGAACGTAACTATCTTAAAGAACGCAAAAGGTATCGTTTGAGTATTTATTTTACAAATAATGCAAAGCGGTTTATTGCAAAATTTTAAGCATTTATTAATTATTTAAGAAAATAAGAAAATTTTTCTTCTTTAATAAATGTTCTTTAAAAGACGCTTTATGTAAATCATCTTGCAACTTAACCATCGGCGATGCAAATTTGCGGGCATTCTCATATCTCTAAATCCCACTTAAAATTAAAAAATTAAAATTTCTTATATTATTTATGATACTATTTTGCCAATGAACTAATGAAATGAGAAAGAATTATGAAATTGACAATATGGTGCAGCTTAGAACACAATAGTACGATTTTCAAATTTTTTTTACATATCTATGAACAATAATTATTTATATAAATCTCTTTACTAATATTAAAGGTTCGTCGACAATGTAATATAATAAATAATCAGATAAGAAATTTATTATTATAATAAGTAATAATAAAATTTTTAATTCTTTAATTTCAGATAAAATTTGGAGATATAAGATTGCTCGTCAAGTTGTAACACCAACGGCGATAAGATTCTTCAAAAGCGGTTTTCGAAGTCCATATTTTGGACCGAAAAAATTTTCTACTCGCAAAAATTTAATAACAAATGCCTCGATGTTTCGAAATGATTTGCTGTAGAGTTTTTTTCAAACAAATTCTCCATAATTAATCAAATATCTAAAAACTCGTAACTGACTTTTTTTTTAGTAATCATAGTAATGAAGACTTTTATACTTGTCGACGATTAGGTCGAACGTCGCGAGCGACTCGGAGGATGTGTCTTATAAATTTTTATTAATCCATTCTGTGAAACCGATTTCATTCCAAGCGCCGGTATTCTTGTCGACTTCATTAAATACGCCGATATAAAGAATAGTTGCATTCTTTTTGTCGTAAATTAGCCAAACAAACGGATAATTCAGATACGTGTTGTTGCTTGTAATATCGTTCGAACTGGATTCTTGTCCACTGATCAAGGTTAATTCGAAATTGGTCAGTAATTATTGATATCTAAGAATCTTAATCAAATATAAATTAAATCATCTGCGAAGTAAAAATTGTATCTTAACAATGAACTTATTATACGTATATTGTGAAACTGCGAAACTATTTGTTAAAATTTATTATTAAAACCGACAGATTTCGAATTATATAATGTGCGCAATTCAACTTGTATCAAAAAATCGCGAAATTTGCTATATAATAATAATCATTGCATCGAAATATAAATAAATTACTCAATAATAATTATTTAAAAACAACTATATTATCACGAAAGAAGTGTATTAGCACTGTATATATTAATTATTTGTTTGTGAAAACGAAAATCAAAATTGTTTTATATTATAAAAGATATTTATTCTTACTAATGGGAATTTTCTCAATTTTCTGCTCCATTTTAGGCTATACTGTGGCAAAATCGTGGCGAACTTGCTTTGTCTTCTGTCTCGATATCATGTAGCCGCCGATTAAATATATGTATTATATTATGTCGCGCACGCGTAAATTGTCTTTGGATGTATTTAAGAAATCTAATCGTATATGACTATCGAAAATCATTTCATGTACATACTAATACAAATAACGCACTCATCTGTGCAAATATAGGTACACATAACCGAAATATTAGAACATATCAGTTATTAGAATGTCAAAAATGCAAATTATTTATAATTTTATTAGTAATTGTTAATTCATACATTGTGATAAAATTATAATTATCTAAAGAAATAGATAGTGCACTTATACACACACACACACACACATATATATATATATATATATATATATATATATGTATGTATATATATAGCGTATGTCAAATAAGAAAGAAGTAAAAAATTTATTGGTTCTGAGTTTTGACTAATGTTGTAGCCTAGAAAAAAGAATTTTTTTTTATTCTACGACAGCAAATTTGATATTTTAATACTTTTGTGAGTCACATATTTAAAATATATTCTATAATATATTAAATGTTAAATTTGGACAGAAAATTATTTCTTGGCTAAAAAATTAAATACGTTGATTTTTCTATGAAATTTGGAATGTGTAATTCAATGATTAAAATTTAGGGCAGAAATTTCATACATAAATGTATGCGTGTATATATGTATATATCCACATAAATATGTATTATTATTTATATACATATACATATATTCATATATTTGATTGTGTTATTTTATCGGTTTCCACATTTTTAACATAAATTGATCATAGAATATATCAGGCAGATATAATGCAAATTTACCAAAATTAACAAAAAATTGATTCGAACTATATAAAATATTGCAAAAATAGTTACAACATCTTCCACCAACTACAGATCTATTACCAATAGTCGTATTATAACGCATATATAATTTGTGTACTTCTGAATTGAAGAGGGAGCAATTACCTTAAAAAGCCAAAATAAGTATCTTTGAGAATTTATTTTACAAATACTACAAAACGGATCATTGTAAAACTTTTAAACGTTTATTAATTATTTACAAATATAAAAAATTCCTCTTCTTCAATATACATATGTTCTTTAAAGGGGCTTATAAAATTATCTTACAGCCTAACCACCAGAATTGCAAATTTGCGATTATTTCCATATCTCTAAAACCCACTTGAAATTAAAAAACTAAAATTTTATCATTAGTTATGAAATTATATTGCCGATGACTCAATAAAATAAGAGAAAGTATGAAATTCGCAACATATAGTGCAGGTTAGAACGAAATAATACGATTTTCAGATTTTCTTCACTTACTTATGAAAAAGAATTATTTAAATAAATTTTTTTACTAATATATATATAAATAATATATATATATATAAATTTATTATTATTTATTATATTACATTGTTGATGAACGTTTAATACATATATATATATATATATATATATATTAAACGTTTATCAACAATTTAATATAATAAATAATAATAAATTTATATATATATATATATATTTATAATTTATATGTTAGTAAAAAAATTTATTTAAATAATTCTTTTTATAAGTATGTGAAAAAACTAAAAATTTATTATATTTATATATTTGTTAATGCACTTTAACATATATATATATAAATATATATATATACAGGGTTTGTCCGGAAAGTAATGCGTCGCATTTTTAAAAAGAATTTATTGATCGCATAGGTAAAACAACTTAAAATTGTTCGAAGTATGACCCTTCTGCGTCAATACATTTTTGCCAACGCGATTTCCATGCGTCATAAGATTTCTGGAACTCCTTGACTGGGATGCTGTTCAGGGAGGCCGTCGAAGTAGCTTGTACGTTGTCAACCGACTCGAGCTGTTGTCCTTTGAGCTCCCTTTCAGCCGAGGAAATAAAAAAAAGTCCGCCGGGGCCAAGTCGGGACTGTAGGGCGGCTGCGGCACCGTTGCCACACCGATCCGGGTCAGGTAGGCCGTAATAACAGCTTCACGCAAAACTTTATCGCATAGCGTTGCTCTATCGTTCTCTCCATCACAAGTTCGACGCGACCACTAAGCAGAGGTTCACAGAATAAGCCGTCCTAACCCTCCAAGCGCATGGAAACAATTGAGCGACCTACCGTTGGAAAGCTAAGGGTACCCCCCTTCCTCCCCAACCGGTCCCATCGCTCTGCGATGTATAGTCGCGTCACAAAAAAATGCGACGCATTACTTTCCGGACAAACCCTGTATATATTTTAAAGGTGCATTGACAAATAATATAAATAATAATAAATTTTAGTTTCTTTAATTTTAGCCAAACTTGGAGGTATATATAAAATTACTCATCAATTTGTAAATTCAACGGCAATAAGATTTTTCAAAGACAGTCTTTAAAATCCGTATTTATAACACAAAAATGTTATACTTATAAAAATTTAATAACAAATGCCTAAAAGTTTGGGTAATATTTGTACAAATTTTCCAAATAAATTCTCAAAAATCAAACCAACGTTTCTAAACTCCTAACTGACTCCCTATTTAGTATACGGATTGTCATGAAGACTTTCAGAAAACCATTCCGACGAACTTCCCGACGACCAGCTTGAACGTCGACTGGATTTATACGTCATATCTATTTCTGTCAATCTAATTTGAGGAATGGTCTTGTCGACTGCATTAAATACGCCGATATAAAGAATATCTGCATTCATTTTGTCGTAAATTAGCCAAACAAACGGATAATTCGTATCCACGTTCCTAATAATATCGTCCGAACAGGGTTCCTGTCCACTAATCAAGGTTACCGCAGCCGCCCTGACGTTCTCCTTCGTGACCTTGACACGAGCACGGTGCACGGCATTGCCGAAGTGCACGAATTGATTGCCTTCCGCGAAGGTTCTGTCCAAAAGCATCCCGTTGGTCGTTAATAATTGTCCGACGCCTAGTTCTCTCAACAGAACACGCATATCCAGATTCTTTTCTATTTCGAAGGTCGGCCAAGTAGCAAAAGATGGTGATTCAAATGTTCTTTCACAAGACAATAATTTCCTAAGTATATCCATTCCCTCGCTGGTTGACAATTTTTCAATCAACCTGGAAAGACTAGCGCTGCTTGTATCAGTTTTAATCCTCTCGTTTGTGATTGATGAAAAAGGTGTCAATATATACAGCGACGTGTAATGTTCCTCGATGATTAACTCTTTTACGTCTACCTGTAATTCATCACTGGAAACTAAAAAAAAAAAGAACAATCATACATATATCATTTTACATTTCAGAGAATTAAAATTATTTGCGTAAACAAATTTTATAACTTAATTATAAAAAAGTAAAAGTAAAATAAGTGGTAAGAAAACGCGAGAAATATATAAATTTATTCTTAACATATTCAAACACATATGAACAATTGTTATACGACTACTTAAAATCAATACATAATTTTTAATTGCGCCTTTTCTCCTAAAATATAAGTACAATATATTTTATTTGACACATTATACTATGATAAGTTTGTCTGATGGTGGAAAAGTGCCGACTCATTATTAACATTTAATATTGCTTTGGTCATCCGTTAATTGATAAATAAATAGAGGGGTGCTTTTTTTACAAAATAAAATAAGTAGACAAATTATGATGGCTTAAAATTAATTTAAAAAATTTATATATATAAAGTTATGTAAGATTGTGCAAAAAATATATATCCTCACATGTTTTAAAGTTCAGATGGAGAGGAGTCGATAGATCTGGTTTCCTATGCGATTCATTTGTAAATTGAGAGATTAATCGATTTCGACCGTGGAAATGATGTATGTTCATCAAAATAATTTCTATATCTTTTATTATTACTTTTAAGTCCACCGGCATACGAATGCAATTCATTGACAGAAATGTTAGAATTATATTGATTGTTCTATTTAAATCCTGGATATCATTGAAGGTCATATATTGGAATCCATAATTGTACAGTCTTTGCATTGCACCGAAGTTTTCACAAAATATTGTTTTTACAAAAATTAATTTATTTAAAATCACATAATGGTGAGGCAGATAGAAGGAAGCCTAAAAAATAGAAGGAAGTGTTTAAAAAACTCTTATTTATTCTTAACTGAAAAATGTATATCACTTCTTTAAAATATTTGGTTCACACATTTATTCACACAGAAAAGCTGAATATTTATATAATATTATAAAATCGCATCAAGTTACTTTATTTAAATTAGTTTACGTAGAAACAAATAAAAATTAAATATTTCGATAAACAAGGTCTATAGATTAAAAAATTTTTTATAAAAAAAATGCTCAATGATATACGTATAAGTTTTATCAAAGATTCGAAAAATATCATTTCGTTTATATGTTTTTCTATTAAAGCTTTTACTGCTTAATATATTTTTTGGAGTCGCAAAGTGTATACTTAAGAAATAACTTTCCATGACATTTTATACAACGCAGAAATAAAATTAAACGTTTTTTAAATTAATATATCCATTATTTAATATTATTATTGAAAAGAGCGTCAAAACTATTTACCTCATAGCGTGCAGGTCGTTTTGTGGGGTATTTATCAAAATTAATGATTTTCATCAACTCATACTTCGAAATTTCCGGTAAAAAAAGGATTTCTTTTAAACGCTGTTCAGTATCACCAGTGGAAAGAAGATAAACCGAGAAAAGTTCCTGATATATGTTGTACGGACTAAAAACAAAATCTTCCTTTGGCTTGATCGTCGCATATTTATGCAGACTTGTCAGAGCGAACTGGAAAATCGCGTTTGATATTATAGAACCTGGCAAATAAATAAGAATATAAAAAAAAACCAAGAAAAATTAATTAAAAGGATATATTAGAATTAACAATGATGATTAAATTACAAATGTTGAAATTAATAAATAAGTTATAACAATTTACAAAATTTGTAATTAAATAAATGAAAATACAGAGTACGTAACGTCTTCAAATCTTTTCGTCACTTTTTGCATGTCTACAAACAAACATTTTTAACAACTAAAAAATTTAACACTAAATTCGAAATACAGGGTTTGTCCGGAAAGTAATGCGTCGCATTTTTTGTGACGCGACTATACATCGCAGAGCGATGGGACCGGTTGGGGAGGAAGGGGGGTACCCTTAGCTTTCCAACGGTAGGTCGCTCAATTGTTTCCATGCGCTTGGAGGGTTAGGACGGCTTATTCTGTGAACCTCTGCTTAGTGGTCGCGTCGAACTTGTGATGGAGAGAACGATAGAGCAACGCTATGCGATAAAGTTTTGCGTGAAGCTGGACAAGACGCCGCTGGAAACTTTTGAAATGCTCAAGAAAGTTTTCGGGGACGATTGCCTTTCCAAATCGCAGTCAAACAGATGGCACAAGATGTTTAGAGAAGGTCGGAAGGAGGTCGCCGACGAGGCCCGCGCAGGACGCCCGTCAACATCGCGAACGGACGACAATGTGACTCGTGTGCGCCAATTATTGAATTCAGACCGTCGAATGAATGTTCGCTTAATGTCGGAATTATTGAACTTGCCGAAAACGATTGTTCACGAGATTGTATCGGAAGACTTGGCCATGCGGAAGATTTGCGCAAAACTTGTGCCCAGAGTGTTGACCGATGCGCAAAAGCAACACCGAGTGGAAGTTTGTGAAGAACTCAAGCAGCCGCCCTACAGTCCCGACTTGGCCCCGGCGGACTTTTTTTTATTTCCTCGGCTGAAAAGGGAGCTCAAAGGACAACAGCTCGAGTCGGTTGACAACGTACAAGCTACTTCGACGGCCTCCCTGAACAGCATCCCAGTCAAGGAGTTCCAGAAATCTTATGACGCATGGAAATCGCGTTGGCAAAAATGTATTGACGCAGAAGGGTCATACTTCGAACAATTTTAAGTTGTTTTACCTATGCGATCAATAAATTCTTTTTTAAAAAAATGCGACGCATTACTTTCCGGACAAACCCTGTACGATAAAATAAATAGTATGCGTAGAATAATAACCGCAAAAGAAAAGTTTCAAGGAGTAAATGTATTCTTACATATCTTATGTTTACTAATATGTTCATAATCAAACTATACAAATTATATAACGAACTCCTTGAAAAGTATGTTAATTATATTTCCAGAAATTATAATATACAGAAAATTCGAAATTGGTCGATAATTATTGAAATCTATAAACATCTGATATTTATTCAAATATAAATTTAATCATCTGCGTGGTGAAAATGTTGTACCTTAATATTGAACTTATTACGTGTATATTGTTAAATTCTGAAACGATTCGCTAAAATACATTATTACCGACCAATCTAGAAATGTGTAATGTACGCGATTCTACTTGAATCAGAAAATCACAAGATTTGCTGTATGTATAATAGTCATCATTGCATCGTATAATATTAAATTACTCAATAATAATTTGTAAAAAATAATAATAATATCACGAAGGAAGTATTAGCACTGTATATATTAATTATTTTTTTGACTTACTAACTAATTCCCCAGTTTCTTGTTCCATTTTAAGCTATACTGTAGCAAAACTGTGGCAAACTTGCTTTGTCTGTTTGTGCTTCAATATCATATGTAGCCACAGCTTTTATATATTTATATTATGTCGCGCACGCGTACTGAAAAGTCTAATTGTTTTTAGCTATTTAGAATTATTACATATACACACGAATACAAACACATTCCTTTGTGGAAATAAGAACACATAATCAAAATATTAAAACATATCTTCCGATTAATTGTCAATAACTTGTACTTTATTTATAATTTTATCAGTATTCGTTATCTCATACGTCGTGGTACAATTATAAATATCCAAAAAAGTAAATATATATGGTGAATATCAAATAAGAAAGAAGTCGAAATTTATTGGTTCTGAATAATGTTGTAGCTTACAAAAAAAGAAATATAGATCATATTAATATAACTGATTGAACATATTATCGAAAATATGAAGTATAATTCGAACATCTACAGCAATATTATAATAAAATTAAAATAAATTGAGATAAACACATATTTAAAAATAGTAAAAATATTTGCAACATTTTCTCGAATTTTACGATAGCACATTTAATATTTTTAAAAATGTTGTAAGTCACATATTTAATATTTATTCTATAATATATTTAATGTTAAATTTTGACAGAAAATTAGTTTTTGGCGTTCAAATATTTCTTCCATAAAATTTGAAAGAAATAAATCAATGATTAAAATTTATGATAAAATTTGAAAGAAGTAATTCAATGATTTGTATTTCTGATAAAAATTTTATACATAAATGAATACGTGTATCTACGTATATATTCACATAAATATATGTATTAATATTTATATACAAATGTATAGATATATTTGATTGTGTTATTATATCGGTTTCCAAAGTTCTAACATAAATTAATCATAGACTATATTAAGCAGATATAATGCCAATTAACTGAAATCGACAAAAAATTTACTTTAAACTTTAAAAACTTTATACATAAATGTATACGCGTATATACGTAAATACATATATCACATAAATATATGCATTAATATTTACATACATATGTATACATATATTTGATTGTGTTATGTCATCGATTTAACATAAATTAATCATAAAATATATCGAGCTGATATAATGCAAAGTACCTGAAATCGACAAATAAATTGACTTATAAATTATAAACTAAAATATGTACATTTTCCATCAACTACATATCTGTTACCAATCACCATTTCAAAAAATATATCCGATTTGTGTACTTCTAAATTTAAGAAAAGCTAAAAAAGATATTATTTGACAATTTTTTTAGTAAAACAGCATAGCGGATTATTACAAAATTTTAAGCAACTATTAATTATTTACATATATATATAAATGTTCTGCAATAAATGGTCTGTAAAGGGCGCTTTATAAAAATCAACTCGTATCTTAATCACCAGTTGTAAATTTGCGAGCATTTTCATATATCTAAATTGCTTTTAAATTAGAACATCTATTTTTTTATTATTTATTATATTGTATTGCTGATTAACAAATATAATAAGAAAAAAGTATAAATTTAACAATATGGTGCAGGTTTAGACCAAAATAATAATAAATTTTTAGTATTTAATTTCAGACAAATTTAGATGTATATAAAATTACTTGTCAATTTGCATTTCCCACGGCGAAAAAATTCCTCATGGGCGATCTTCACAGTCTACATTTTTCAATAAATAAAATGTTTATACAAAATTTTAATAACAATTGCCTAAATATTTCCAAATAATACGCTGTAAAGGTTTTCCAATAAAAAATTCTCGAAAATCATATTTTTTAAAGCTTCAAAACTGGCTTCCCTTAAATTTGTTATCATAATTATGAAGATTTTCCAATAAACTCCTAGAATGAACAGTTCGTTTGATAAGATTTGTATCCTGTCAACCCAATTCAAGAAACGGGCTTGCCAACTTCATTAAAGACGCCGATATAGAGAATATCTGCGTTCATTTTATCGTAAATTAACCACAGAAATGGATAATAAATATTCACGTCGGTTATAATGTCGTTCGAACAAGATTCCTGTCCGCTGATCACGGTTACTGCAACCGCCTTGACGTCCTCCTGCGTGACCTTGACACGAGCACGGTGCACGGCGTTGCCGAAGTGCACGAATTGATTGTCTTCCGCGAAAGTAATGTCCAAAGGAATCGCGTCGGGCGTCATTAACTGTTCGACGCCTAGTTCTCGCAACAGAACTTGCATATCTAAATTTTTTCAATTTCAAAGGTCGGCCAAGTAGCGGAAGATAGTGATCCACGTGTTTCTACACAAAACAGCAATTTCCGAAGTATACGCATTCCTTCGCTGGTTGACAATCTTTCAATCAAGCTGGAAAGGCTAGTGCTGCTCGTATCAGTTTTAACTCTCTCGTTTGTGATTGATGAAAAAGGTGTTATTATATACAGCGACGCGAAATGTTCTTTGATGATTAACTCTTTTACGTTTATCTGTAATTCATCACTGGAAACTAAAAGAAACATCCATATATTATTATACATTTTCTAGAATTAGAAATTAAT